TTCATCTCTATATTAAACCCCTTAAATTTAAAATCTCACTTAATATAATTCCTAGTATTACAATCATTCATTTCTTATCAAAATAATAAACCAAAATGCTTTATACCATACATTTCCTTAAATCTTATTCCAAATAATACAATCCAACATCTTAATAAAAACCAGTTAGTTATATAACAATCTTTTCTCTTTATATAATAATAATAAACCAAATTATTTTATACCATATATTTCCTTGAATCTTATCTCTTACTTTGTCAAACAAATATATTTATACCTCTTCAAACAACATCTTAATCATTTCTACTTTCACCGCAATCTAATTAATTCATAGTATAATATCATTTCACCTTTGTTCTTTTTTGATTAGGTTCCAAATATGCAGTTAAAAATATTCCAGTTGTTACAATTTCCCTAATCAAATTTATTCATATTTCTAAAACTTATCATTATATAAACTCCAACAATGCAATTGAGAATATTCCAATTGTTACAATTTCTCTAATTTTAGGTAAAAATATTCCAACTATTACCATCTCATTTGTCAAACTTGTTCATATTTCTAAAACTTATTTCAATTCATTCATACATCCATATAGTTTTCCATTATTTTATATTACTTAAATAGCATCACAATCTCCTCTTTTTTCTAACATTCATTACATCTATAAATCTTACTTCAAGTCATATTTCAATTCTAAATGTATACAACATATTCCTCTTTCATTGCTTTCTCCCTTTCTTTTTTTCTTTTTTTCTTTTTCTTTCCCCTTCTTTTCTTTTGTGCTTTAAAATCCTGAACTCTCCTGTTTTGCCCTGTATTTCCCATTATTTCCCATCTCTTTTCCCTCTTTCTTGTTTTTCCACTGTTAATCCCAGTGTAATTATTTAAATTTTTAATATTCTTTCTATTCCACCCTTTTTTCCCTCTTTGTCTCTTTCCACCCTTTCTATTTTTTCCATTGTTAATCCCAATGTAATCTTTAAAATTCTCCTTTATATTGTTACTGCCCACATAATCATTTAATTTTCCATAGTCAATCTCTTTGTCTTTGTCTTCTTTTTTATTGTCAATCTCTCTTTCTTGCTTCTCATTCGTTATTTCCTTGTCAGCTTGAGTGTACTCTAACACAATTTTTGAATCATTAGGTTTCGGTTTTCCGTGCAACATTGTGATTATTTCCCTTGCTTCCGTTTTCAGTGATAGGTACATCATTTTCATCATTTCCTTAAATTCCTGCGCCATTTTATTATTTCTCAGTTAATATTATTCCAATTTAAAGTTGCATTGTAATCCTCTTTTTTTAATCATCAAAGTCAAGCTGCTTGCAGACAAACAAACCCTCCTTAGAAGTTCTCACAGCTGTTATCACTATCAAAGTTCAAGGTTTTTTCCAAAGCAAAAATTCAGTGTAGTAATGATCTTATTTCTCCTATAAAAAAGTATCCATTTTGTTTGCAATCCACTTTAACAGTCTTTACTAATTTTTTTCCCTCTTCTTTTTTACCTTTATATACACCAAATCAATTTAAAGTCCAGTCCAAATTATAAAGTCCGTTTTTCCCCTCTTTTTTTTTTTTTGGTACAAAACTTCTATTATAGGGCTTTAATTTTAGGTTTCTCTTTAGTTTTTCTCCAACATTCAAAAAAGAAATCTGTTTATTTTCTTTCCAGTCCTCTACACCAGTGGTCCCCAACCCCCGGTCCGCGGACCGGTGCCGGGCCGTGGAGTACCTGGCACCGGGCCGCGCAGCGGCCGGGGGACATGAACGCTGCAGCGCACGGCCCAGGAGCCTTTGCGCTGCAGCGTTCATGTCCCCCGGCCGCTTTTGCGCACTGGGCCGTGCGCAAAAGCTCCTGGGCCGTGGCCCCACCCCTGCGCGCACTCAGCGGGCTGCGGCGTTAAAAAGGTTGGGGACCACTGCTCTACACAGTTATAGGGTTTTTCTTCTAATTTTTAAAATTCTCCAAATATTTTAATCCAAAAGTTAATTTTCTTTTCGGGTTTTATCACTTTAAATTTTCGCTTTAGCCTTCTTCCTTCCTTTCCCCCATGCCCATTAGCTGCTATTATTCCGCTGGCTCTTTTGACAAAACCTTTTCCTTTTCCTTTTTTTTTTTTTTTTTTTTTGCCTATGAGCTGGCAATCACTCACCTGGCGTTCATACTCCGTTCAAATCACTGCTCCTGCTCAATACTTGGTCCGGTTGCCCCAGGTTCTTGACGGTCACAATGGCCGCCGTCCCCGCTGCCAAGTCGGAGAGAGTTTCCTCTGACCTTTGAGGAACTTGCCTGTTCCTCTTGGTTTTCTGAGATGCCTCTCCTTCTTCTCCATCCCTACGAGATGGTTCCGGTCCAAAGACCCCTCGGCAGCAGCTTGTCAGCCCGGGATTTCACGGAGCTCGTTGGAGCCCGCTATTTCCCCGACTGTCTTGCCGCAACGCTTCCGGTCGAATCTACCTGCAAATGTTCTGTTGCATGAAAATTACACTTGGAGACAATCCGCTATTTTCCCAAAGATGCTTTTTCAATAGGCAGCTGGACTTTCTGTTTTTTCTTTGAAGACGTTTCGCTTCTCATCCAAGAAGCTTCTTCAGCTCTGACTGGATGGTGGGGAATGGAAGGATTTATACTCCTTGCAGACAGCTGGTCATTTGCCTTCTGTTAGCTAGTCCTAAAGCCACCTGGAACCAGTGGTGGGATTCAGCCGGGGGGGGGGGAGAGAGAATTAAATGAAATTAATTACAAGTATCTCAAATGAAAAACTATCAGGAAGTCTCTGGGCTGAGGACTAAACTGGGAAGTTCAAAAAAGCAACGTTGAAAGCAGTGAAGTTAACTGTACTTTTGCCCGGAAAGCACTAAGTTGGACTTACAGGAGTTTTGGTTTTACTGTGCCTCAGACAGTGGCACCAGCTTCTTTTTAATCTATTGCAATTCTTCATATATTTAATAGGATGATCCCTGACATATTTCATTATCAGTGACGGCAATAGCAACTTCTAGAGAGGTTCTGGGGCCATGAGGCGAACCTATGGCACGCATGCCAGAGGTGGCACGCAGAGCCCTCTCTTTGGGCACGTGTGCCGTCACCAGCTGCTCTTCTGGTTTTTAGTGCATGCATGCACGCCAGCCAGCTGATCTTCGTGTGTGCCTGAGCCCTGGAAACCTGAAGACCAGCTGGCCAGTGCACATACGCATACCAGCCACCTGGTCTATGGGTTTCCGGCGCTCTGGCGTGCACAGGCCAGTGCGCATGCGCACACCGGAAACCAGAAGACAAGGTGGCCCGCGCCTGGATGCGCACCGACCAGCTCATTTTTTGAGTTTCCAGGGCTCTGGTGCATGCATGTGCGCATGTACGCATTCCAGTTTGGGCACTCGGTGCCGAAAAGCTTCTCCAGCACTGTTCTAGGGACTGAACCCCAGGCTTTGGGGGTGCATGACGTTCCTAAAGCATCAGGGAAGTGTCATACCTGAGCCCTATTCCCTAGAGCAGGGGTCAGCAACCTGCAGCTCTGGAGCCACATGTGGCTCTTTCTCCCCTCTGCTGTGGCTCCCTGTCACTCAAAATATGCATCAGAACCACCAATGTGCGACCCCTGCCGGCACGTGATTTATTGAGCTTTTCAACCCCCAGTAGGCCAACCATGGATAAATCCAAGAAAAGAAAAGTTTCAGAAGAAAACAGAACATTTAATTCAACTACATATGCTAGTTTTGTGGCCACTCAAGAAATAGTCACGTACGCGAAGGGTTTTGTGGCTCCCGGTTTTTTCTTTTCTGTGGGAAACGGGTCCAAATGGCTCTTTGAGTGTGTAAGGTTGCAGACCTCTGCCCTACGGGTCTCCAACCCACGGTCTCTGGACCGGTACGGGGCTGCGGCATGCCACAAACCGGACCACGCGAACAAGCAAAGCCCCATCTGTGGGATGCAGGCAGCATGTGAAACCACACCCGCTCTGGTCCACAGAAAACCCTCTCTCCATGCAACCGGTCCCTGGTGCCCAAAAGGTTGGGGGCCACCGCCCTAGAGAAGTATTTCTAAAGCTTGACAGCTTTATGGATGGACTTCAGCTCCCAGAATTCAACTCCCAGTCTGGCAACACTGGCTGAGGGAATTCTGGGAGTTGAAGTCCAACTCATCTTAAAAGTTACTAAAGTTAAGAAACACTAACAGCAAGTGTTTCTTAACTTTGGCAACTTTTAAAAGGAGTGGACTTCAGCTCCCAGAATTCCCCCAGCCAGTCTTGCTGGCTGTGGAATTCTGGGAGTTGAAGTCCACTCATCTTAAAAGTTGCTTTGTTGTTGCTGTTAGTTGCGAACTTGTGTCCCCCCATGGACAACGTTCCTCCAGGCCTTCCTTCCTCTACCATCCTCTGGAGTCTATTTAAGCTCATGCCGACTGCTTCAGTGCCTCCATCCAGCCACCTCGTTCTCTGCTGTCTGTTTTTTTTTTTTTTTCCCCTTAATCTTTCCCAGCATTAGGCTCTTCTCCAGTGAGTCCTTCCTTCTCATTAGGTGGCCAAATTATTTGAGTTTCATATTCAGGATCTGGCCTTCTAAAGAGCAGTCAGGGTTGATCTCCTTTAGGACTGACCGGTTTGATCGCCTTGCAGTCCAAGGGACTCGCAGGAGTCTTCTCCAGCACCATAGTTCAAAGACCTCAAGTTGCTAAAGAAACACTATTCCATTCCATTCCACTCCATTCCATGGATTTAACTGACAAGCGGGCAGATCCTGATGGAACATTAGAAGACACTTCCTAAAAATAGCAGCCATTTTGTGGTGGGAGTATTGTTGTTGGGCTCCTTTTCACTGGTTGCTCAAGATGAACTTCCTGAGAATGGTTTAATCTGGATTCTTGCGCTGAGCAAGGAGCCGGATTAGATGACCTCAGCGGCCCCTTGCAGCTCTGAGATTCTGCGATTCAGCGAGTGGCTGTTTTCAGTGTTATATTTTTCCTCCTCCTCATCCCTGTTTCTCTGTCTGTCCTTCAGGAAGAAGTCTGTTGGAGAGAAGACGCTCCCAGTATTTCTGTAGGTGAGAAGCTCTGAAATCCCATCATCTCTCCCTTGTAAGTACCACTCTGAACTTGCCCAAACGTGGACTCAGGCCCCCTTGGTCATGTCCGCAGAAAGAAACCAGTGCTGGGCTGGGAAGGCGAGCGGTTGAGCAGAGCCAAGGCCAAAATGGCGGCTGAGCGACGGGAAGTGTCCTCTGTGGGCCTCCACCCGTACGAAACCAGGGTGGAAAAAGGAGTCAAAATGGAGGAGTTTGAAAGAAATAGCCTTGCGCTGGCCAGCCCAACCCGATTCAGGAAGAGCCCTTACGTCATCCAAGCTTTCACCGTCGGGGAGCATTTTAGCCGGATGACAGCCAAGCCAATGGAGCGGGACCTTGAGGAAGGGGTGCTGTCACCATGTTGGGAAGTCCAATGGCGGGACATCCTGAGGAACACACAGTCCCCGTATTCGGGGTGGGGCCACCCCCAGATCCCGGGGGTTCTGGCTCCTGCTGAAACCAGGGCTGGTGAAGAGCTCCTACAAGAAGAGACAGGTGGGCTTCTGCCACCAGAGAGACCCCTCAAGACCAACCTGGATGCAGACCCCACAGAACGGGGGGATGATGGAGAGGTGAAGGGAGAGGGCCAAGCCCCGGAGACCTCCAACGCGGAACTGCATCGGCAACACTTCCGCTGGTTTTGCTACCAAGAGGCGGAAGGGCCTTGGGACGTCTGCGCCCGGCTGCGGGAGCTGTGTCTCAACTGGCTGCAGCCGGAGCTGAATTCGAAAGAACGGATGGTGGAGCTGGTGGTCCTGGAGCAGTTCTTGGCCATCTTGCCTGAGGACATCCAGGGCTGGGTAGGAGAAAGCGGGCCGGAGACCTGTGCCCAGGCGGTGGCCTTGGTGGAGGACTTTCTGCTGAGGCAGCAAGAAACTGAGAGGTGGAAACAGGAAGTAAGGGCGGGGGGATTCTGGGGTGGAATGGGGAATTGGGGATGAGTCCATCAGTCCTTCATGTCATAAGAGTCACGGTGGTTACAGGGGATAAAATGCAGTCTTGCGGGCTAACTGCCCGCTGTTAACAATTCGATCCTGACCAGCTCAAGGTTGACTGAGCTGTCCATCTTTCCGAGGTCGGTCAAATGAGGATCCATGTTGTTGGGGGGCGATATGCTGACTCTCTAAATCGCTTAGAGGGCTGTAAAGCAGGGGGTCCCCAACCTCTGGTCTGTGGACTGGCACTGGGCTGCGGCATGCCAGAAACCAGGCCGCAAAAACAAGCAAAGCCCCATCCATGGGATGCAGGCAGCACGTGAAATCAGGCTCCTGTACAAAAGCAAATAGTAGGACACAGAGGGGAAGGGAAGGGGGAAGAAAGAAGTGTGGAAGAGAGGGGGAAGAGGGAAAAAAAGTGTTGATTTCCTCCGACTCCCTTTGTTGCAATAAAATAAAGCATTAACATAGAACCTCAGCTTTTTACTTTTCTATAGTAGTATAAACTAGCCATTTCTATACCGACAAATCAATGGAATCAGCAAAATCAAAGCTTAATTTTTTTTCCACCTCAAGCACAAAGTCCAGAAGCGGTTTCCAAACAGAAACAAAAGTCCTTGTCTTCTTTGATCAAAAACAGTCAATTTAGCCATCTCTGCTAAGTCCATCGACTTTTGTAGCCAATCATCCATGGTGGGAATCGAAGTGTCCTTCCATTTTTGTGCGTACGGCGGTCTTGCTGCCGGAATTCCTCAGCCCGTTTGCTTTTAAGATCTGTCGGCTTTCAGCTCCCAGAGTTCCGCAGCCAAGCTTGCATTAAGATGTGTGAGCTTCAATTCCCAGAACTACCCAGGTCGCATGCTGTCTGGGGGAATTCTGGGAGTTGAAGTTCATAAATCCTAACGCAGCTGAGGTTGAGAAATTCTGTATTGTTGGCTGACATTAGCTTGTTGTTGTTTTTTAAACATTTTCGAGGCTGCAGCCTCCTCAGCTGAGGGATGGACACTTTGCCTTGGTCATGCGCCTGAAATGTTGATATAACATAATTAAGATTTTTAGTAAAGAAATATGATATTTGACGGAATATATTTAGAATCATTGAAGAAAAGGAGGCAGTATAGCAAGGGGAAAAAAGAGAAAACCAAAATGGTAGAGGGGGAAAAAAAGGAAAGAAAATATATTAAAAAAATAGCTTCCAATTTTCTTTACAGCAATTATAACTTTACCTCTTATTCTGTGGTGATAGCAGGCTCTTCGTTTTTCTGTAATTATTTTTTTGCTAATCAAAAGCATCTGTCACAAGTTCATTTCGTACTGTTTCGCCCAAAAAGTTTAAAAAGCTTTCCAGTCAGCAATAAACTTAGTGCCTGAAATTTTGAATTTCTCCCTTGAAGGATATCAGTGAACCAACAGCCTGAATGTAATGTAAACAAGCCGGTCTCTTCACCAGAAAAGCTTTGGGTCTTTCTGACCTTCCCACTTCAGGGGTGTCAAACTCGCATAATCACGTGACATATTCCGACTTTTTTTCCCCCCCTTCGCTAAAATGGAGGTGGGTGTGGCCAGCGTGTGATGCATCCTGCCCGCAGGCCGCCAGTTTGACACCCATGAATTAGTTTTCCAGTCTTTCTCCAGATCTTACTGCCTGTTTAACATTTCCCAGGCCTGGGTTTTGTCCCACATTCTTTTGAGTGTAGACAAAACTTGGCAACTTTAAGAATTGTGGACCTCAACTCCCCAAAATTGCCAAGGTTGAGAAACGCTGCTCGCCACATCTCCCGATCTTGCACTAAACACTCAGTAGGTTTCCAGCGTTTATGGTGAAGTTTTTTTCCCCTGACCGAACAGGTTGCACCGTTGTGCTGCAAACACCCACCGTCTTCATATGTGTGTTATTGTGACATCACACGTACATCCCCCAAAGGGCCACAACCAGCAGGTGATGCTCCCTTCCTCATTCTGATTTGCAGCCACCCACGTTCTTGCTTTTTTTTATCTTCCAGGTGCTGGGGGAGTTCGAAGAAGTAGCGATGAGTTTTTCGAGAGAAGATGACGCTGGCGAAAAACAGCCTTGTCGGGAAATCAAACAAGAGCAGGCCAATTGGCTGGGTACGGATGCTTTGCTGTCTGTTTCTTTATTTCTTTAGTTATTTTTTTTTATTACGTTTATATGCTGCCCATCTCTCTATCCCCAACCTACAACCGTCATTGAGCCTTGAATTGCGGCCCTAAGTCATGCCAGTCATTAAGCAGGTCACTATGCGACCGCATCTGATTTTATGATCTTTTTTTGTGGCAGTCACTAAGTGAACAGCCACAATTGTAAAGTGAACACCACGACTATTAAGTTAATCTGTCCTCTGCAATGACTCGATTTTCCAGTTCTTTCTCTTCCTTTCTGTCATCTTCGGGTGTTGCCATGTCCGCTGTCCAGACTTCATTCGAAGTTACGATGAACCTCCTCAAGGGCTACTCTACAATATGAATTTGAAGTTTCCCTCCCCGCAGTCACATGATTGCATCCTGGGCACTCAGCAGCCAACCCTCATTTATGGCCGTTTGCAGCAACGCAAAGTCACGTGACTGTGATTTACACTTTTTGCTGCATGATTGCGTCCCAAAGGTGCTTTTTCAGGAGGCAACTGGACTTTTCTTGTTTTTTGTTTGAAGACTTTTCGCTTCTCATCCAAGAAGCTTTGTCAGCTCTGACAGTCTTACACTCTATTTTTTATTTTCTCTCTTACTTTCTCGCCGTGCATACTTGCTGTGCATAAGTAATCCTAGAATTACAGTCTATATGTTTAAGAATTAGATCTATATCTGACCATATCAACATCAGGTCAATGCTTGCTACTGATCTGTAAATCTCTAGCAAATATTTTTTTATCCCTGATTTGATTTTTTAAAAGTTGCAGTTTGTCTCACTAATTTTCAGAATAGAAATTGCTTGTCTCCTGAAGGATGTAGGACAATGAATCTTGCACTGAAAGAATAAACACAAGGTATTTGAATAGAATCACATTGCATGGCTTGAGGAAGCCATGAAAGAAGTCAATAGAATAGAATAGAATAGAATAGAATAGAATAGAATAGAATAGAATAGAATAGCAGAGTCGGAAGGGACCTTGGAGGTCTTCTAGTCCAACCCCCTGCTTAGGCAGGAAACCCTACACCACTTCAGACAAATGGTTATCTAATCTTTTCTTTAAAATTTCCAATGTTGGAGCATTCACAAGTTCTGGAGGCAAGTTGTTCCACTTGTTAATTGTTCTAACTGTCAGGAAATTTCTCCTTAGTTCTAAAGTTCTAAGTTCTAAGTTGCTTCTTTCCTTGATTAGTTTCCACCCATTGCTTCTTGTTCTACCCTCAGGTGCTTTGGAGAATACCTTGACTCCCTCTTCTTTGTGGCAACCCCTGAGATATTGGAACACTGCTATCATGTCACCCCTAGTCCTTCTTTTCATTAAACTAGACATCCCCAATTTCAGCAACCGTTCTTTATATGTTTTAGTCTCCTAATCACCTTTGTTGCTCTTCTCTGCATTCTTTCTAGACTCTAGAGTCTGAACATCTTTTTCACATTGTGGCGACCAAATATATCCCTTTTTCTCACATTATGCAAAGCCTCAGGAAACAGGAAGCCACTAACTTTCAAATTAAAATTAACTGCCCTGAAACAAATTGTGATTAAATTATCTTAAAAACTGATTGTGGTCACACATTAGAATGGTAAAACAAATAAATAAAAAACAGGATCTTAGCGCAGAAAATGAATGTGTGTTGTTTCAACCATTGTAACTTGTTTTTAGTTCTAGCTTTTCTAACTCTCTCTTTCAATCTTGACAGATAAGTGGGAGAGTGAGGACGAAGAGGCCGTGTTTGAAGCCTTATTGGAAAAAGCTGAAACTCAAGTCCTGGAAGAAAACTTTGGAGAACAAGAGGCACCAAGGTGGGAGCAGAGATTCCCCATAGACAAGAGAAGAAATAACGCCATTCTCGGCGAGAGCGGGATCTCCCGGGAACATGTCTTGGAGGACAAAGCGCAAACAGGAAAGAGGAGACACATGTGCGCTATTTGCGGGAAGGGCTTCACTCAAAAATCTAACCTCAACCGGCATCAGAGAACCCACGTGGGAGGAAAGACATTTCAGTGCTTAAAATGCGGGAAAAGCTTCAAGTGGGAAACTAGTTTTATGCGACACCAGAGATTCCATACCGGCGAGAAGCCTTATCCCTGCGTCGACTGTGGGAAATGCTTTAGTCGGAGCGCAAATCTCATCATTCATCAGAGGATTCACACCGGAGAGAAACCCCACCAGTGCGTAGACTGCGGGCAGAGTTTTAGCCAAGTTTCCAATCTCGTTCGACACCACCGAGTCCACACCGGGGAGAAACCTTACAAATGCCTGGAGTGCGAGAAAAGCTTCACTCAGAAATCAAACCTCGTCAAGCATCAGAGTGTCCACTTGGGAGAGAAGCCGCCTCGACGCTCGGCTAATGGGAAGAGACTCGGTCAGAGGTCCAATCATAAGAGATTGGACAGGGATTCCCTTGGAGAAAACAACTGTCAGTGCTTCAAGTGCGGGAAAATCTTTTCCCGGAGAGGCAACCTCCTCAGGCATCAGAGCATCCACACAAAAGACAAGCCGCACAAATGCCTCGAGTGCGGGAAGCGGTTCAACCAGAGGACCAACCTGAATGCGCATCAAAGGATCCACACCGGGGAGAAACCGTACCGATGTCCGGACTGTGGGAAAAGTTTTCGGTGGAGGGCACATCTGATCATCCACAAGCGCTTGCACACCGGCGAGAAGCCGCACAAATGTGCTGACTGCGGGCAGAGCTTCAGTCAGCGGTCCAATCTGGTGAGGCATCTCCGAATCCACACGGGGGAGAAGCCGTACAAATGTTCCGAGTGTGAGAAGAGCTTCGGCCAGAAATCCAATCTTCTCAAGCATCAGAAGATTCACACGGGGGACAATGCCCTCCATCAGCTGCCCGGTAATGTCAGACAGGACCAAACGGGGGAGGAACCCTATCAGTGTTTCAGGTGTGGGAAAATATTCACCCGCAGGGGCAACCTTCTGAGACACCAGAGCATCCACACCCGAGAAAAACCTCACAAGTGCTCCGAGTGTGGGAAGAGATTCAATCAGAGGGCAAACCTCATCAGCCATCAGAGGATTCACACCGGGGAAAAACCCTTCACCTGTCTGGACTGTGGGAAATGTTTTCGGCAGAGCCCGCACCTTATTAAACATCAGAAAGTCCACGCGGAGGAGAAGGCTTCCTACCACCCTAGCTTGGATCATGGGGCAAGCATCAGCCTCGAGCCAGGCCACAGGAGCCACGAGAGGATTTACCTGAGGGGCAATCCGTATCAGTGCATGAAGTGTGGGAAGATGTTCAACTGGCAATCGAATTTCATCCGCCATCAAAAAATCCACACCGGTGAAGAGCCTCGTCAGTGCTTGGATTGCGGGAAGACCTTCAATCGGAGGAAGAACTTTGTGGCTCATCAGAGAATCCACACGAAAGAGAAGCCTTACCAGTGCACCGAGTGTGGGCAAACCTTCACCTGGGAAGCCCACCTGGTGATCCATCAAAGGATCCACACGGGAGAAAAACCTCACACCTGCGTCGAGTGCGGGCAGAGTTTCAGCCAGAGATCCAACCTCATCCGGCATCAGAGGATCCACACAGGAGAGAAACCCTACGCTTGCTCGGAGTGCGGCCAGAGTTTTACACAAAGGACGCACCTTGTGGTGCACCAGAGAACCCACACGGGGGAGAAACCGCATAAGTGCGTGGAGTGCGGGCAAGGCTTCAGCCAGAGGGCGCACCTGATTGTCCATCGGAGAATCCACACGGGAGAGAAGCCGTATCGGTGCGCGGACTGTGGACAAGGCTTCTGCCAAAGATCCAATCTTACCAGACATCAGAGGTCCCATGACTGCGAGAAACAAAAATAGGAAACGGGAAAGAATACCCCGCTGGAGGGTTGTGTCTTGAATCTTAGTCATCCAAGCATGGGGAATGTGGGTGCGGGAGAATGGTAATGTTTAGTTGGTATGGACATTTGGGGGACACACCAAATTGGTCTTTATGGAAGGATCCACCAAGGACACAGAGCCTGAACTATAAAATATACAGAGTGGTAAAACAGTTTGAGGGCACTGATCGTATTAAACCGGGACCCCCATCTTCCGAATGGCTACTGGCATCTTGACTTTTACAGCAGTGTTTCTCAAACGTAAGATGATTATTTTTAGGCCGCGCTTCTCCACCTTAGCAACTTTTAAGGCATGTGGACTTCACCTCCCAGAATTCTCCAGCCAATATGGCTGGCTGGGGAATTCTGGGAGTGAAAAGTCCACATGTCTTAAAAAGTCGCCACGTTTGAGATAACACTGTTTTACAGAACGACGTCACCAGTAAAAAATGCACTGATTTACCAAATATCCTTGGCTCTTCCCTGTTGCCTTTGCTTTACCCCAATGGAAGGTGGGAAAGAAATTATGTGAAGGAGATTGTACGTCAGCACCATTGTTTTCTGGAAAAAGGACCAGCTGGGCACCAAATTGAGGGCAGAAACTGATGAAAGAAAGATTAGATTTGTAAATCAACTAGATAATGTTGGGGAGTCCAGAGAAGAACAGTCTTCCTCCCAATTCTCTCATATGTTCTGGGTCATGTGACTATCAGGGAGGGAGGGGCTTAGAACGGCAGATTTCGCAGGATTCTGGGCCTCCATTCTAAGCCCCCCCCCTCCCTTCTAGTGACCCATAGCACAGGACATAAAACTGTTTCTCAACTATTTCTCAACTTTTAAGATATCTGGACTTCAACTCCCAGAATTCCCTCAGACATCATGGTTGGCAGGGGAATTCTGGGAGTTGAAGTCCACGCCTCTTGAAGTTGAAAAACACTGATCTGTGGAGTCCAAGGATGCCATACACCAAGCAACTTACAGTTGACCCAAAGAAGATCCTTGGGATTGTTTGCCCTGTGCATCGTTGTGATTTTGTGTTTTTGATCACAAGCTTAGAAAAATCCCAGGGAAGTGTGCAGCTGACACGCAAAACCAATCCAGGAACACTCCTTTCTGAGGACTCTTAATAGACTAAACTCCCTTTCCTCCCAGCTTCTTCTCACCATTTGAATTGCTCTCGTCATCCTGTGCGCCATGGAGATAGTCCTCAATCTTTTTGAATCTGTGGAACCATCCCCTTTGCCCCCCCATGCCACCCCGCAGCAGGCCAAGCCAGGACCGCTGCTGTATAGTATTCAGTATACCAGTCCTTCTCTGGCACACCAGAAAATGTTGAATATTATACAGGTAGACCTCGACTTACGACCACAATTAACCCCAAAATATCTGTCGCTGAGCAAGATGTTTGTTAAGTGATTTTTTTTCCCCTCTCTGTTTTACGACCTTCCTTGCCACCGTTGTTAAGTGAACCACTGCAGTTGTTAAGTTAGCAACCCGGTTGTTAAGCGAATCTGGCTTCCCCATGGTCTTTGCTTGTCGGAAGGGCACAACTGGCGATAACATGACCTGGAACACTGCAACCGTCATAAATACGAGTCAGTTGCCAAGCGTCTGGATTTTGAATCATTATAGATGATTGTGGGGATGCTGCCATGGATTTAAGTATGGAAAACGGCTTTTTTTTCAGTGCCGTCGTAATTTTGAACGGTCACTAAATGAACTGTTGTTAGTCGGGGACTACTTGTATTTTTAAGTGTTCACTTTGGCCATGTCAGGTGAGGGAATTCACTGGAGAAAGCAATGATGTTTGGAGGAGTTAGCGGTAAAAGGGAACCAGGCTGCCGAAGAACACGGCGGCTGGACACCATCAAAGCTGACCCCAATCAGAGCGTTGAACAACTCAAAGAAATAGCGCAAGTTTGGAAGACGTGGCGAGACCTGGTCCATAGAATCGCCAAAAGTCATCACGGCCAGTAGTGGGATGCTGCCGGTTTAATAACCAGTTCGGTGAGCGTGCGCTTTGCGCGTGCCTAAGGCGCTTCCACGCGGCATTGAAAATGGAGCATTTAGAAGCTCAGCTGCTTACCTTCCAAGTCAGCAACGGTAAATAGAACAGCGAGGTGGAGGAGGGGGGAAATCAGTTGTGCCGCACGATTGAGAGGAGCTACAAAGCAGGAAATAAAGGACAGGATAAAAGGGGGGCGGGTGGGCGGAGCCAACTGATCATTGGAGCTACCGGTTTTCCCGAACCGGCTGAATACTTCTGATCATAACTGAATTGGGTAACCATCATTATCATGATTTTGTTTTGTTTTTTAATTTGATTTATATGCCGCCCTTCTCCGGAGACTCTGGGCGGCTTACAGTGCGTTAAGCAATAGCCTTCATACTTTTGTATATTTTATATAAAGTCAGCTTATTGCCCCCACAAACTGGGTCCTCAATTTTACCTACCTTAGAAAGGATGGAAGGCTGAGTCAACCTTGAGCCTGGCAAGGTTTTGAGGGGAAATTATGAACATTTCTGAAAAGATCTCCACTGTTGAACATACTCGGTGCAGAAACATAAAATAAGAGAAGGAGGACGAGTTGGATAGGTTCACCACCTTGAGTTCATTTGTAAAAATAATCAGGCACCCTATTGAAATATTGAAAAAAAAAATAGAATGAGACAATCTCATGGCACAAATAGAAACAAGCCTGGTTGAGAATCACTACTCTAGGGGCATTAATTTCCTAAATTCTGTTTTCTGTTCCTGTTTGGCTTCTCCAGCTAAGTGGCATTCTCTTTTTCTCCCTTACAAGTTGCCACCTTCCCACAATTTCAACCTTGGAGAATGCCACTGCCGCTAAAGAAGAGGCGGGACAGCCATTTGTTTGAAACCGGATAAGAGTCTATTGCCCGGGCAGGGGGTTGGACTAGATGACCTCTGAGGTCCCTCCCGACTCTTATTCTGAAACGTAAACTTCCTCCTTCCTTTCTCTTTCCTTCCTAAAACATCCTCCTTCAAGTCTCAAAGTAGTGAGCAGGGATGTCATTTTTGGAATTCCCCGTCGCATCTTGCCTAAGCGACCCTTGGAAGAACTTCAAGATGGGGGTGGACTTCAACACCCAGAATTCCCCAGCCAGCCATGCTGGCTGGGGAATTCTGGGTGTTGAAGTCCACCCCCATCTTGAAGTTGCCACAATCAAGAAACACCGGCCTACATTAACCTCAATTGATAATGAAGCAGGATTTTGCCAAAGGCTTTAGACAAGATTGATGGTCGCTGAGTCGGCAAGGCTTTAAAAGGGCAAAGGAGTCAAAAAAAAAAAAAAAGTCAAGAAGGGGGCCACCATTACAATCTTTTTAAAAGAAAGAGGCAAGGCTTCTGTCACATTGACGGCTCCGTCTTAATTTTACTGATGCCTGTTACGGCGCCTCTGTAATTCAGAAGAAATCATCTTTGTACGTGTTTTAGTGACTCTAAACACAGTTAGTTACCTGAAGGTGGAAAACCACTTGGTGGCACCAAAAGTCACTGGGGATTGGGGTGGATGGGTGGGGCAGGACGAAAAAAAAAATGGAGCGTGTGTTTTTATTAAAATAAACTGGCAAATTCAACAATTCCCATTCCAGTTTAGAAGTAGCCCTCGAGGTACGACTGCAATTGAGCCCAACATTTCTATTTCTAGGCCAGTTAAGTTAATGTTGACTCATTTTATGACCTTCCTTGCTGCCGTTGTTAAGTGAATCCCTGCAGTGGTTAAGACGGTTGTTAAGCAAATCTGGCTCTCCCCGCTGAGTCTGCTTGTCAGAAGGCCGCAAAAGGGTGGGATCGCATAACCCCAGGACTCTGCAACCGTCGTAAATACGAACCAGTTGCCAAGCATCCAAAATTTTTAACTGTGCGACCATGGCTGGAGCTGCCAGTGGTCGTAAGTGTGAAAAATGGTCATGAGTCGCGTTTTTCAATGTCTTGGAACAGTCATTAACGAATGGTTGCAAGTCGAGGATTGCCTACATTTCTCATTAGACTTTGTCTTCTATAGCCAAATTGCTCTCCCGTGATGCGAGTCCCATTGAGATTGCCTGTGTGTGTGTGTTTGTGTATGTGTTGGGGGGTGTGTGTGTGTTACAGGTCAGCAAGTTTGTCAGAATTTGTCTCCTGATAGCTGCTTTTAACTCACGTCTGTCCTTCTGTTTTTCCAATAAACGTAATTTTTAAAAAATATACTGTATATATATATGTGTTTTTTTGCATGGTCATCTAGTATTTCATCCCGGAGGCTGCATTCCTTTCGTTCTTATGCTTTGGATGGCATTTTGAATCTTTATGATAATTATATTGATTTTAACCACACTTCTCTTACTGGATTCGGATGTGGGAAGTGAAATATAACATTCCGATAGTTGTTGGTCTGCACTTAAGTGCAGATTTGGCTCGAGAAACTCACAGGGATGGTATCTAGTCCATTACTAGCCCCATTTTTTTTTAAAAAAATTGATTTATATGCCGCCCTTCTCCAGAGACTCAGGGCGTCTTACAATGCGCTAAGCAATAGCCTTCACCCTTTTGTATATTTATACAAAGTCAGCTTATTGCCCCCACAAACTGGGTCCTCATTTCACCTACCTTAGAAAGGATGGAAGGCTGAGTCAACCTTGAGCCTTGGCGAGATTCGAACCTGCAGTAATTGCAGGCATCTGGTCTTAATAACCAGCTTAATAACAGGGTGCCTTAGACTACTTAGGTAGTACATGTAGCAAGCTCTTGGTAGTTCATGTAGCAATAGCACTTAGACTTATATACTGCGTCATAGTGCTTTATATAGCCCTCTCTTAAGCCAGGGGTGTCAAACTCAAGGCCTGTGGGCCGAATCCGGCCCATGGGGTGATTAGATTTGGCCCACAGGGTTGCCCTGGAAACAGCGAAGGACCGGCCCATGATGCCTCTGCCAGCGAAAATGGAGCTCAGGAGGCCCTTCCGAGCTCCGTTTTTGCTGGCAGAGGGTTGCAGGGGGCCATCCCAGCTGAAAATTGAGCCAATTTTCACTGGCAAAACACAAGGGCCACCACAGGTGCCGACACAAGTGATGTCAAGTTGGCCACGCCCACACTGGCCACGTTTACCATGTCGCCCCCAAGATCAAACACAACCCTGATGTGGCCCTCAATGAAATTGAGTTTGACCCCCCCCCTCCCGCTCTAAGCAGTTTACAGAGTCAGCATGTTGCCCCTCAACAATCTTGGTCCTCATTTTACTGACCTCGGAAGGATGGAAGGCTGAGTCAACCTTGAGCCAGTCAGAATCGAACTCCTGGCAGTGGGAAGAATTAAGCTTGCAATACTGCATGCTAACCACTAGGTCCCCAGGGCATGTAACAATTTTTTTTTAAATATACATTTATATACATTTTATGATCGGGGGGAAAAAATAGTACCCCCGCAAACTGACCACGTTTTGATTCCGTTTTATTTATCAATTCATAAGTACATGGTTTAGAGAAAAGCTGTTAAAAGATCAATGAAATGTTACAAATTTAAGCGCTTCATTCCGTAGAGCTCTGCCATCAGGATAGATAATAGAATACAATTACAAGAATTATATAACCTATAATATAATAAAATCAGGAAAGTCCCCTGAACTTTTTGTTTTTGTCTAGACAGCACGGAGGAAGAAGTGGGGACAATAGGTTTCAGAGAATGAAAGGGATTCTGGAGATCATCTTGTCCAGCCCTTTCCTTGTAGTGAAATAACACTGGATTAACACCGCGGTAATAAAAGACGGATTGCTAAATGCCGCCAGCGTTCTTGAGACGGACATGAAATGTGTAGACATGCACTTTTTAGAGCCAATGTGTTGATTTGAGCCTTGCACCCTTAGATTGTTAAAATTTTCTCTGATTCCCCTCAACCTGGTTTTTCAGGTCTGCCTCCATCACTCACGGCAAAGAATATTTTTGGCTAGAGAAATGGATCCAAAAAGCAATCCTTTTTTTTCTTGGACTGTGGGATCCACTCACAAAACATCTTCAAATGCTTTGAGGATCACAGTTCTAGAAACACTAGTTGAGCCTTGCTGACATTTCTGGTGGGTTTTTTTGGGGTGGGGTGGGGAAATCCAGGGTCAAATTCTTAAAACTCACAACCGCTTCTTCCTTTCCAACCCGGTCTTCCTTGCACAACTGTTGGTGCAAGAAAGAAAACCAAGTTGGCTGCCTTGAGCACTAGTGGAAAGAAGAAATGAATGAAATGGAGGACCGGGAGGGAAGAGGGTGGGTTTTCCAACCTTTGGAAGCTAGAAAGCACACTGAAATGTTACTTAGAATTGACCAAATGGTGATGATGCCGTATTAGAAGAGACATTCCCTTCACAGTTAGGTTTACGGGCTCACGGCCTCCCGGCTTCCTGTCAGGCAGTGGGAAGAGCCTCCACACACACCCTCCAAATAGTGGGGTCTCTCTCACTGGAGGTCTTTTAGAGGCTGGATGGTCAGTCATCCGTCAGAGATGTTCCAACAGAGCTTGGGGCAAGGGGGTCAGGCTAAATGACCTCGGAGGCCCCTTTCAACTCTTAATAGTTTGGATTCAAATTCATTTCTTTTCCAGGGCGATAAAAGGATCTCAAATCAAGGTTCGGTTCACATGGAGATTAGAATGATGATTGCTGTCGGACCAGGAGAGCAAGGAATTCCCACAACCATTTCCGAAAAGAAAGTGTTTTTATTCATTTATTTATTTATTTTGTCGCATTTCTATGCCGCCCAACTCCCAAGGGACTCTGCCAGTTCCCCCTTTTCTCTCTCTCTCTCTCCATGTCTGGTCTGGCCTGCCTTGTCAGGGATGTTGTGGTTTAAGGTTTAAGAAGAAAAAAAAACCCAGAAAGCAGGGGAAAGCGGTGCCTTTTTTGGTCTCCTTGGGAAGATAGTGGGATATATATATATAATAGTATATTATATATAATATAATATACTATTATATATATATATATAATAGATATACATATATATGTGTGTGTAATCCACAAAGGTAATGTTTTATTCCGTATTTTCAACCAAGTTCATCACGCTCCGCAAGAATCCAGCAATCACCTCTGGATTCTTCCTTCAAGATCAATCAGGAGGATTTTTCAAATTATCACCCGAAGACCTCCCCTTAAGGACAAAGCAATAATAGTTCATTAAAGCCCTTTTAACATGCACCGTTCCAACTTTAGATTGTGTAACACTGGGATGTTGGTTGGTTTCTTTTTAAATCCCCTAGGGCCAGCAGTGGGATTCAAATAATTTAAAAACGGTTTCTCTGCCCTAATGACCGGCTGGGTGGGCGTGGCCATGGTGGGTGTGGCCAGGGGGTGTGACAGGCAGCACTGGGCCTCCTGCACCCGCCTGGGAGCGAAAATTGGCCACGGAGGGGGGGGGAGGGGACACACCACCTCCCCGTGCCCCATTTTGGGCCTGAGGCCTCCCTGCAGCCTCCTGGGAGTGAAAATGGGCCACCCCCCCGCACCCTGTTTTGGGCCTAGGCGGCCTTTCTGCAGTTACCTGGGAGCTAAAATGGGGTGCGTGGGGACTCCTGGAAGAGGAGGGGAGGGGCAGAGCCAGCCAGCAATTTAACTACCAGTTTGCCTGAACCGGCTGAATCCCACTAGGACTGCAAAATGGCTTGTGGGCCAATGAGCCAGTCTCATCCGTTGCCATAGATATATGACATACAACCTGGTAGGAAGAGACCAAAAAATATAGCATGCCCCCCCCCCTTGTACAACCAACAAGCTTTTGAATTACCCACCCACCCCCCCAAAAAAAGAGAGAGAGAGAGAGAGAGAAAATATGGATACTATGGAATCTCTCTGGGTTCGAAGAGATTTGGGGCATAACAGTCTCCTACCTACCTAGTCCCTGTGGATTATGGCTCTTAGAAGGCCATCATGAAGATCGGTGGTTCACCCTTGGGGTGTTTTCGTGGGCCAACTGGGAGAACAAGCTGTGAGATCAGATGGGCCAGGGAACTCAATCCAGCAGGGCACAGTTTAAGGTTCTTACGATAACATTTCAACAGATGGCAGATTGATAGATACCATGTTCGTTAAGATAGAATGCTCCTTCTCAGGGTGCTCTACTTCAGAACATCCATGAGAAGGAGAGTTAAATCACTGACTGAACGAAGGAAGGCTCTTGGTCTTGATGGCAGGATGGCTGCCTCTGAAGGCCATCTTCGGGGAGACCTGAGGGCTTCCTTGGGCGAAGAAGATGGTCCAATCCAGCAGGGCATTGCTTAGATACTTATATACCTCTATAACAGGGGTGTCAAACTTGATTTCATTGAGGGCCGCATCAGGGTTGTGTTTGATCTCGGGGTGAGGGGGTGCGTGGCCAGCTCGACATCACTTGTGTCGGGGGTGCCTGTGGTGGCCTGAGCGCTCTTGTCAGCAAAAACGGGCTCCCGAGCTCCATTTTCAGCTGCGATGGCTTCCTGCAACCCTCAGCCAGTGTAAACGGGGCTCGGGAGGCTGCCCACGGCCCTCGCGAGCTCCGTTTTCGGCTGCGACAGCGTCCTGCAGCCCTCTAGCAGCAAAAATGGAGCTCGGGAGGGCTGCAGGCACCATTTTTGTTGGCAAAGGCATCACGGGCCAATTCTTTGCTGTTTCCAGATCTAAGTACCCCGCGGCCCGGATCTGGCCCCTGGGCCTAGAGTTTGACACCCCTTCTCTATAACATATAACACACTATCCTTGACTATAGTTATCTAATTCTGTTCGTCCATGTATGTAACAAATGAAGAGGTCCCAATGGTGCTTTTCCAAACAGCAACTGGACTTCCTTGTTGTTTTTTTTCCTCCTTGGAAACGTTTCGCTTCTCATCCAAGAAGATTCCATTTTGAAGAATTTCCATTCTGAAGCTTCTTGGATGAGAAGCGAAACGTTTTCAAGGAGGAAAAAAAAAAAAACCACCAAGAAAGTCCAGTTGTCTTTTGGACAAAAGCATCTTTGGGAAAACCACAACCTTCGAGGATCTCCAAAGACGACAACGAAGAAGCTTCTGAAACATTATTTGACATGAAACGAGAGTCAGCTCTCTTTCCCATTTTTTTCCTCCTTTGCAGTTGAAGCTCATTGCAGAGTGATCTCCCGTTGCGCCAAATGCCCTTTAAACCCCGGATCAGATTATTTCCGCGGCGTGGATCCTCTGATGCGAGACCAGCGAGTCACCGCGCGAGAACTGTTTCCCGCAGACGGGACACTCGTACGGCTTCTCACCGGTGTGGATGCGCTGATGCGACGTGAGGTTGCTGCTCTGGCTGAAGGCTCTCCCGCACTCCAGGCAGGTGTACGGCTTCTCCCCGGTGTGGGTCCTCTGGTGTAAAGTGAGGTGTGCGCTCCGGCTGAAACTCTTCCCGCACTCGAGGCACAGGTAGGGCTTCTCCCCTGTGTGCATTCTCAGGTGCGAGGCGAGGTTCCCGCTGAAACTGAACCTCTTGCCGCAATCCAGGCATTTGTACGGTTTGTCCCCCGTGTGAGTCCGTTCGTGGGACAGGAGATGCTTTCGACAAGTGAAGGTCTTCTCACACTGCAGGCAGCGATACCGGGCTTTGCGGGTGTGAATCTTCTGGTGCCTGGTGAGGTGGGTGCTCCGACGGAAGCTCTTGCCGCACTCGGCACAGGTGTGTGGCCTCTCGTTCGTGTGCTTGGCCTGTTTGTGTTGGGCGAGCTTGGCCTCGTCGCCGAAGCTCTTGCCGCAACGGAAACACTTGTACAGTTTCTCAGCCAGGTGGACCCTTTTATGGGAAATCAGCCGGGTGCTTCGGTAGAAACCCTTGCCGCACTCCGAGCACTTGTACGGCTTCTCCCCCCGGTGAAGCTTTTGATGCAAAATCAGATAATCGCCGCGACTGAAGCTTTTCCCGCACTCGAAACATCGGAAGGGCTTCTCGCCCGTGTGAGTCCTCTGGTGCCTGGTGAGGTCCGACTTGCAACTGAAGGTCTTCCCACACAGGGCACACTTATTCGCACTCGTCCCTTCGGTGTTCGGATGCTCGAGTATCGTTACAGACACCTCTGCGGGCTCCTCCTTAATCTGGATGTTTTCTGCAGGAGAAAAAAAAAAAAAGGAGTCTGGAAAAGGGTTGGGTTTTAGGCCCTGTCAGATAACCGGATTAAAAAGCCAACCCCATACAGGCCAGGATTACTGTTAAAGTAACAGAATTCAATAAAGGAGAATATTTGTAGCTCAGGGTTGAAATGAGGGGCCCTTGGTGCCTCTGAGCTTGGTGGTTTTCTTGCAGCTGTTTTGTTTTCATCATCCTAATCCAATCCTAAATTGCATTAACAGAGGGATACAATCAGGATCAAGTGAGGTACTAACACCGCTCTATAAACTAAGCCTTAGTAAAACCACACCTAGAATGCTGCATCCAGTTTTGGTCACCACACTATGAAAAAGATGTTGAAACTCTAGAAAAAGTGCAGAGAAGAGCAACCAGGATGATTAGGGGACTGGAAGCTAAAACATTGGATGAATGGTTGCAGGAACTGGGCCTGGCTAGTCTAGTGAAGAGAAGAGAAGGACCAGGGGAGACATGATAGCAGTCTTCCAATATTTGAGGGGCTGCCACAGAGAGGAGGGGGTCAAGCTATTTTCCAAGCACCTGAAGGCCAGACAAGGAATAATGGATGGAAACTGAACAAGGAGAGATTCAACCTGGAAATAAGGAGAAATTTTCTGACTGGGAGCAATCAACCAATGGGACAGAAGTTGCCTCAGAAATTGTGGGGGTTTCATCACTGGAGGTTTTCAAGAAGAGATCGGACTGCCATTTGTCAGAAATGGTGTAGGATCTCTTGCTTGGGCAGGGGAGGGGGGTGTTGGACTAATGACCTAGATCCATTCCCTTCCAACTCTGTTCATTTGTTAAATCCTTGAAGCATTGATGATGTTACCTAGCTGGGTAATGAAACGTCTAGAGAAAACAACCAAGCTCAGGGAGCACTCAATAACATAATCTGGCAAGTCTTGAGTGGGCTTCCCTCTCCCGCCTTTTATCTTTTTAAGAACTAGGGAGGGGCTTGCCCAAAATGTTTTCTCAAATTACTTTCTTGGCCAGGGGCTCATGTCCCTCTTATCTGACCACTGCCTCCTCCTCCTCCTCCTCCTCCTTCTGTCCTTCAAGGCCATTTCCTCTATGGTAGTCCTTGAGTTACAACCAACCTAAAAAAGGGAATTAGGACCCGGATTCAAAGTTCTGACAGTTGGGTCCCCCTCCACAGTCACAGGGTCAAATTTCGGGCAATCGGTGACACGGCTGCATTTACAGTCCACACTCCCAGTTTTTGGCAAAACTGCGCCTATAGTGAACTGTTGGTTTGCTTAACGACTATGGTGTTTTGCTTAATGACTGTTACAGTCACTCTACAGCCAATCATTTGTTTAACAACCATTGCAAGAAAGGTAATAATATTGGGTTTGTCATGACTGTTACAACATATGACCATAATGGTCAGGCTCCATTACAATTGCGCCACCAAGGCTGCGCCACCAAGGCTCTGGCCTCTGGAGGCTTCAGGGAGTTCTGCTAGGCCCAAAATGGGGCGCGGGGGGTTCGCGCGCATGCGTGGAAGGTGGAGGTGCGCGGGGGGGGGTCGTAGATGCCTGCGCAGGGGGGCCATTGCCTTAGGGGTGTGGGCACACACGCACAATCGCGCACTTTTGGCACCCGACATAAAAAAGATTCACCATCGCTGGCATAGTGTCAGCACTTCAAATTACATTCGTTCCAGCGCTGACATAAGGAGGAGAAGAGGGGGCAGCTAGCAAGAGGACGCTTGACTTTTCACCTACTTATTTTCCCTGAAGATAATATCCCCTAGGAGATGGGGTGGGAGGGGGGACATTCCTGGGAGCTGAAGTAGTAGATATGGGGAGAGTGATTTGGAAGATGGCCAATGAAATGCAGAGAATTGGGGAACGGAAGTGTTGCGGCCCCGCCCTCTGAGCCTATCTCATCGGAGGAAGGTTTGGGGTCAGGAAGTCAGTGTTGGCTTCGACATAATCGGGGACAGATTGTCATGCTTAATAAATGAAAGATTTCATCAAAGATTATCTGTTTGGAAATGCAATTTATTTGAGACGACATCGAAACCTGACACATAGGGTTTCCTGCCTAAGTAGGGGTTGGACTAGAAGACCTCCAAGGTCCCTTCCAACTATCTCATCCCATCCCATCCCACCCCATTTCTATTATTTCTGTTTCTATTATTTCCATTTTTATACTACTCTGCCTGGCTTTTTCTGTTGAATCTTGCTGGCTCTAGAGCTAACTTTTCAAACTTGGACATGAGAATGAATTCCCCGGGATAGAGAGCTGATCTCTTGGATATCCTCACAAGAGGGTAGATATTACACTCACCCACTTCCACTGGAGGAAAATTATTGTCTTGAGAACTTCCTGGTGAACGTTTCAGCTGATGCTGTGAAGTGAAGCTTTCGGGGAGGAAACCTCCCTCTGTGGCTGATCTTGCCATCCAGTCTTCTTCAGGAGGAAAAAAATGAAAAAAAAAATGAATGTAAAACATTTCAGGTTCATCTTTTCCTGAACGGTGTTAAGCATAATTAAAAATAATTAGGTAAACAACTTTCTAATCACTTTGGCAAAAGTCTAAAATTCCAATTGAACGCATTAGGGATGTCTGCATGGTCTGATAAATAAATAAATAAAAAGAGCGAGTATGGTCCTATAATGCCAACTTTATCAATACAGTTTCAAGCAATTTGTAAAAACTGTTGCTTAGGCATAAGGAAGCTTCTCAGGAATTCTGGGAGTTGAAGTCCACAAGTCATAAAGGGGCCATCGTTCCCCACACTGGCTCAGGAATTGAAAAGTCATGAAGGGGCCATAGTTCCCCCATGTTGGCTCAGGAATTCTGGGAGTTGAAGTTCACAAGTCATAAAGGGGCCTGGTGGCTCAGCAGACTAAAAGCATTGTGATTAACACCAGCTGTCTGCAATTACTGTAAGTCCGAATCTCACCAGGCTCAAGGTTGACTCAGCCTTCCATCCTTTCTAAGGTAGGTAAAATGAGGACCCAGTTTGTGGGGGCAAGAAGCTGACTTTGTATAAATATACAAAAGTATGAAGGCTATTGCTTCACGCATTGTAAGCCACCCTGAGTCTCCGGAGACGGGCGGCATATAAATCAAATAAAAATAAAATAAAAATAAAAATAAACTAAAGGGGCCATTGTTCCCCACACTGGCTCAGGAATTCTGGGAGTTGAAGTCCACAAGTCATAAAGGGGCCATCGTTCCCTGTGCTAGCTCAGGAATTCTGGGAGTTGAAGTCCACAAGTCATAAAGGGGCCATAGTTCCCCCATGTTGGGTCAGGAATTCTGGGAGTTGAAGTCCACAAATCATAAAGGGGCCATGGTTCCCCCATGTTGGGTCAGGAATTCTGGGAGTTGAAGTCCACAAGTCATAAAGGGGCCATCGTTCCCCACACTGGCTCAGGAATTCTGGGAGTTGACAAGTCATAAAGGGGCCATAGTTCCCCCATTTGGCTCAGGAATTCTGGGAGTTGAAGTCCACAAGTCATAAAGGGGCCACGATTCTCCACTTCTGGCCTAGAAAAATCCACCTTCAAATTTCTGCTTCTGCCCTCCAGCTCTTGGGCTGGTCATTTTTGTCATGGCTCATCTTACCTGACCAGTTTGTTGATTTGTAGGAAGAACGTTTGGGCAACCTTTCTTTTTGAGGTCTCAGAAAAAAAGGCAAGCGACACATTCAATACAGGTAGTCTCCACTTACGATCTTTCTTTTAACAACTGTTCAAACTTATGACAATGCTGAGAAAAGTGAGTTGCAACCCGTCCTTATGACTGCCACAGCGTTACCAACAGTCACATGATCAAAATTCAGATCCTTCGCATGTATTTATGACCGTTGCAGTATCACACGGTCACATGATCTCTATTTATGACCTTCATTGGGAGGTTTCTGACAAGCAACTTCAATGGGAGCAGCTGGATTTGTTTAACGATGACCCCGTTCACTTAAAAACGTCATTCTTTAGCGATGGGACATTCCAATCCCAACTGTGGTCATAAGTCGAAGACTACCTGAGATGAAAATCTGCCCCTTTTCTTCCTCTACAGGTAGTCAACCATATGGCTAATTTAACAACTGTTGTGGCCCGTACGCGGCCTGTGCGGATTGTAGCTGATTCAGACAGCGAGGAGGCTGGTGTGGTGCTGCGCCAGCAGCCTGTGCAGCTGGCACTCGAGTCAGACAATGAGGAGGCTGGAGAAGATGTGGTGCCAGAGGCAGGGATTCAGCCAGGGCCTTCAGAACCCCCAGAAGCTCCCTTAAGTGAAGAGGACAGAGAGGAGGAGCCTCTTCTCAATGCTCGGGCGCACAGAGCTGCCAAAAGGCAGGAGTGGCTCCTCAGGAGGAGGTCTCCTCGAGAGTAAGGCCTGGGGTGAATTGGCCACTCCCTTAGTCTATTTAAGGAGGAACGCCGACTGCAGCAATTTGCAGGGAACAACTTAGTTCACATACCTTCCTCTCTTGTCTTGCTTATCTTATCAGCTTCCTGAAAATTGCTTCTGGGCATTCTGCCAACCATAGTAAGCTTTCAGTTATTATTCTTTGAATTCTTGGTGGCTGTTAATGCAGTTAATTAACAGCCGTTGTTGTAAAAGACTGGTTTATTTAGTAAACTAAGATTTGAACAGACTTTGTGTGTGCTGCGTTCTTTGGGGTCCGTAGCTGGGGCAGAACAGAAACCCACAAGGGAGCCAAGCTAAGCCTGGCCTAGAAAGGAATTTCAGGGACATTCAAGACCCCTCCGTTCTCCCACCCCAAATTGTGTTATTCCTCTTTACCTGACGGAAGGGCCTCTTCGCTGTCATCTTCCTCCTTGACGATGACACGCAACAGCCCCAATTCAGAGTCCCAGAAAGACTGGGTGGCGTTGGAGCAATCTGGACTTCTGGACTCCTACAATGACAGAGAAATTCAGCCAGATCTAAAGACCTCAACCTGCCTTGCACCCTCCACTTAAACGCGGAATCGGGCAACTTCGTTTTGGGACCAGGCTAAATTTACCCTGTGATTTTTGGCCACTGGGGCTGCAAAAGACACAGGGGAGGATGCGATGATTTGGTGACGTATAGGTAGTCCTCAACTTACAATGGTTCATTTAATTACAACGGCACTGCAAAAAGTGACTTTATGACCATTTTTCACACTTAGGACCATGGCAGCTTCTCCAGAGTCACCTGATTTACATTTGGATGCTTTAGCCACTGACTCACATTTATGACGCTTGCAGTGTCCCGGGATCACATTATCCCGTTTGTTGACCTTCTGACAAGCAAAGTCAACGGGGAAGCCAGATTCACTTAACAACCGTGTGACTAATTGAACCGCCACAATTATTCACTTAACAAATGTGACAAGAAAAGTCATAACGTGGGGGCAGAACCCACTAGACAAGTTTCTCACTTAGCAATATTTATTTTATTTTATTTTATTTTGAATTTGTATACCGCCCTTCTCCCTGAGGACTCAGGGCGGTGAACAGCCAAGTAAAAACATCAAATACAAATATTAAAATACAGTTAAAATATACATATATAAATTTGGCCCCATTGATTAAAAACAATAAACAAAACACTTAAAAACACTTAAAAAAAAACAAACATTTTGGGCTCAATTTTGTGATCATTAACAGGTAAATTGAGGACTACCTGTAATTGGAACGAGTGGGCAGAAGTTTTGCGGGGCGGTTTAGAGCGTGGAAGTGAAGCCGGGTCGGATCCGGCTATTGGATGGGGGCCCCTGGGAATCCAGAGCTGTGGGACGTGAAAAGAGATCGCAGAAGAAATCAATGAGAAACTCCCGCAAAACTGCCCAAATTCAGCCAGCAAAGTTGAGTTAAGAATCTATTTAGCATTAAAAAAAAAAGCAGGTAGATATTTTCAGATTTGCCACTGGGTGGCAACAACTGAGAGATCAGATTAGGACAGGGAAAACTCAACTTTACTTTCCATCTCAGCTACAGATTAGCATTTAGCATTAGCATTTAGACTTACCGTATTTTTCAGACTATAAGACACACCGGAGTATAAGACGCACCAAGATTTCGAAGAGGTAAACAAGAAAACAAGGAGCCTTGGTAGTACAGTGGTTTAATGCACCCTGTTATTAACACAGCTGCCTGCAATTTCTGTAGGTTCGAATCTCACCAGGCTCAAGGTTGACTCAGCCTTCCATCCTTTCTAAGGTAGGTGAAATGAGGACCCAGTTTGTGGGGGCAATAAGCTGACTTTGTATAAATATACAAAAGTATGAAGGCTATTGCTTAACGCATTGTAAGCCGCCCTGAGTCTCCGGAGAAGGGTGGCATATAAATCAAATTTAAAAAAAAAAGGTTTTGCCCTTCCCGGCCCCCAGGAGCACTCTGCAGGCCTCCCAAACCCTCTGTGCGTCCCATTTTTCACAATAACGGGGCATGCAGAGGGTTTGGGAGGCCTGCAGAGTGCTCCTGGGGACTGGGGAGGGCAAAAACATTGTTTTTGCGAAAAACGGGGCCATTTTTGGCCTCCCAAATCCCCCACGCGTCACATTTTTGCCCTCCCCAGCCCCCAGGAGCACTCTGCAGGCCTCCCAAACCCTCTGCGTGCCCTGTTTTTACAAAAAACGGGCCTGTTTTTGGCAGGGTTTCGGGACGCCAAAAATGTCTGTATTCGGTGTATAAGACGCACCAACATTTCCACCCTCTTTTAGGGGGGAAAAAGGTGTGTCTTATACTCCAAAAAGTATGGTGTATACCCAGTGGTGGGATTCAAGTAATTTAACAACCGGTTCTCTGCCCTAATGATTTCTTCCAACAATTATTTGCCAAACTGCTCAGAAAGTTAACAACCGGTTCTCCCGAAGTGGTGAGAACTGCCTGAATCCCACCACTGAATATACCGCTTCACAGGTCTCTTTAAGCGGTTTACAGAGTCAGCCTATTGCCCCCAACAATCTGGGTCCTCTGTCAGGTTTCGAGGTCATCTCAAATAAATTGCATTTCAAACAAAATCTTTGAAGTAAAACTCCCATTTATTAAGCACGACATTCTGAATCCGACTCCAATTGCAGCCAACACTGACTTCCAGACCCCAAACCCTCCCTTTCCGTTCCCCGCTCCCCTGCACTCATTGGCCATCTTCCAAGTACCTCTACCCCTAATCTACCGCCCCAGCTCAAGGAATTTCCCCCGTCCCATCCCATCTCCTAGGGGATATTATCTCCAGGGAAAATAAGTAGGTGAAAAGTCAAACGTCCCTTTCCAGACGCCTCTGCCTCTCCTTCTTATGTCAGCACTAGAGTAAATGCAGCTTGAAGTGCTGACATCCTCATTTTACCGACCTCGGAAGGATGGAAGGCTGAGTCAGCTTTGAGCCTGGTGAGATTCGAGTTGCCAAATTGCAGGCAGCTGGCAGTCAGCAGAAGTAGCCTGCAGTCCTGGATTCTAACCACTGCGCCACCACGGCCCCAGATGCTCGGGGGGAGACGGGACTCTGGGCCACTCACGTTCAACCTAGCCTACCTCACAAGATTGTCATGGGGGAGAAAACGGGAAGAGGGAGATTCTGTGTGGTGCCTTGAATAAACAAAGACTGATACTCAATGTTAAAAGTTAGGACTGAAGCTTAAAAGAGAAGCCAGGTGAATCTGATCATTACCATTTTGTGTTCTTTTGCTTCCTGAAACGTGGTTGTGCTGCAGTTCCCAATCGTCTTTCAGCTGGAGTCCTGAATGCTTCACCTCCCAAGAATTCCCACCAAGGATGACTGGATTTATTTTTAAGCTTTGTGTATACGCCACTGCAACCTAGATGATGGAGTGGAAAGTTAGATTGTTAGAATGAAGTCTATAAGAAGAATCATTTGCAAACTGACTTGTTTTATTTTTCTATCGTTCATGATGGAAAATGGTAGAATTATTGAATTGTGGAGTTGGAAGGGGCCGCTAAGATCGTGTAAACCAGTGTTTCTCAACCTCCGCAATTTTAAGGTATGTGGACTTCAACTCCCAGAATTCCCCAACCAGCATGTCAATCCAACCCTCTGTAACGGAGACGAAAATCAGTCAAACCATCCTCCAGTCCAGATCCTGTATAGCCTCTTCTTAAAAACCTCCAGCAGTGGAGAACTCACAGAACTTCAAATAACACATATTAAGAACTTCAAATAACATTTACTTGTCCCAAAGGTGCTTTTTCAAGAGGCAACTGGTTTCTTTGTTTCTTTACTCGAACTAAAGAAGCTTCTTGGATGAGAAGCGAAACATCTTCAAAGAAAAACCAGAAAGTCTAGTTGCCTCTTGAAAAAAAGGACCTTTGGGACAACCATGATCTGGATGACTGAGAATCTCCATAGACAACATTTGGGTTTTATTTCATTTATATCTCACTTCTTCAGGAGTTCAAGGCAGTCCACCTTCATTACTGTACATTTATCAATACTAAGCACTTTTAAGATGTGATCCATTGTTTCGATGACACATTTTTAGAAGGAGGATTGTTGTTGTTGTTATTATTATTTTTATTTATTTATTTATTTATTTATTTATTTATTTATTTATTTATTTATTATTTATTTATTTATTTATTTATTTATTTATTTATTTATTTATTTATTTATTGGACTTATATGCCGCCCTCTCTCCAAAGGACTCAGGGCGGCTCACATCAGCGAAACAATCCCAATAAATACACATTAAAACATATTAAAACAAACTAAAACCAATTTAAAACCAATTTAAAACAGTAGACCCCATCAGTCCAGGCTAGGCCGTTTAAACAGCCATATGTCTTAAGCTCGTGGCTTAAAAGTTATATTGGTAGTCCAGTATTTTCCTTGTTTATTTTATGTACTGCTAGCTTCAGCTGGCTCCTGGCAGTTTGCAATTGTGTTAAAATTGGAACAATAAAATGACAGTACATTCAAAACAAAAACCACGTTGCTGGATAATCCTCCAGCATGCCCCGTGGAAAAACTCTCTCTCTCGTTTTTTTCCTGTGACACTGTTTTCCTATCTCCAAAGAGATACAGGGGTTTTCTATACAAATTCAGAATAAAAATGTCATCCAAAGGGAGTGAAAGAAAGCATCATTCCACAGAGAGGAAACCTGTCTGCAATGCTCAGAGCCTTGGTGGAGTTAGTCTAATAGCATCTTCTGAGAATAAAAGCAGTTTTTCTCTTAATCTTCTGCCATCTGTGCTGGATTTCAACTCCCAGAATGCTCTGCCGGGAGCGCTTAAAATGCCACATTGCTGGATAAGGATCATGGGGGTTGAAGTCCAACAGGGGTACCTGTTAGGGAAAGTTGATCTGGGGAATAGGAAAAGCCAAGTTCAGGTTCATTTTTAGCCATCAAAATTGGACGGTTTGGGGCAACTCCTTCAGTTCAGCCTACCTCACAGGCACATTTTGGCAATGCAACAAAAGGCAAGCTTTTTGAGCTTTTGGGGAAAAGGTAAGATAAAAATCCATCAAAAAAGAAGATTATTTCCTCCCTCCTCCCAACTTGTTTCCTCTGCAATACATACTGAGGAAGCAACCATTATTTTATTATTATGATCCTGATTTATCACTGGTTGCTTATATGCACACTGAGAGCTTTTGCACCGGAGACAAATTCCTTGTGTGTCTAATCACGCTCGGCCAATAAAGAATTCTCTTCTATTAAGAAGATCCCAGCTGCCATTGTAAACTCCTCTATGGCAGAAAACTAAGGTTGGGGATGCTAGCCTAGGTAGCTCAGGTAAGTGAGCCACTTTGCATATTTCAGATACGAAGACAAAAAAGGCTGGTTAGACCATCCTGATGCAAAAAAACGGTGTTTTCAGATCATCTCAACTGATACTGGGGCTTAATAGGGAGTGATTTGCAAACTCTCCTAAAGTTAGCATGCGATCTATATGGTAGTGAATTGAGCAAACCTAGTTAAACAAACCATGGATTATCACAAGAGGTGCCAAAAAGCCTCAACAGGAGCGGTGAAGATTTAGGGCTGCCGTCTTACCATTATTAATGGTAAAATAAGTTGACCCCATCTTCTTTGTGACAGTCCTTCAGATACGAGAATCATGTCCGTCTGTCCGTCTCCCCCAGTCCTTTTTTTCTTTAGACTAGCCAAACCCATATCCTACAAACCGTTCTTCCTATGTTTTAGTCTCCAGGCCTTTTTTTAAATTATTAGTTGTTCTTCTTTGCACTTTTTCCAAAGTCTCCACATCTTTAAATAAAAAATATTTAAATAAAAAATATTTAAATAAAAAATATTTACAGACCCCTCGCATCCTGGACATAAACTATTTCAACTCCTACCCTCAAAACGACGCTATAGAGCACTGCACACCGGAACAACTAGACACAAGAACAGTTTTTTCCCCAAACGCCATCACTCTGCTAAACAAATAATTTCCTCAACACTGTTAAAATATTTACTAAATCTGCATTATTATTAATCTTCTCAATGCTCCTATCACCCATCTCCTCCCAAGGTTATGACTGTAACCTTGTTGCTGGTATCCTTAAGATTTATATTGATTGATTCCTAATATGATTTGATTGCTTATTTGTTCCCTATGACTATTATTAAGTGTTGTACCTTATGATTCTTCACAAACGTATCTTTTCTTTTATGTACACCGAGAGCGTACGCACCAAGACAAATTCCTTGTGTTTCCAATCACACTTGGCCAATAAAGAATCCTATCCTATCCTATCCTATCCTATCCTATCCTATCCTATCCTATCCTATCCTATCCTATCCCTATCCCTATCCCTATCCCTATCCCTATCCCTATCCCTATCCCTATTCTATTCTTCGTTTGTAATCTGGGGACCAAAACAGAATGCAGTACAGAGAGTCCTCAACTTACAACCTGGAATTTATGCTGCTAAGCGAGGCATTTGCTCAGTGAGTTTTTCCCCCATTTTACCACCTCTCTTGCCGCCGCTGTTAAGCGAATCACTGCCGTCGTTAAAATTAATAACAGGGCGCTGAAGTGAATCTAGCTTCGCCATTGACTTGGCTTGTCAGAAGGGGATCACGTGAGTCCCGGGACACTGCAACCGTCATACAGGCGAGTCACTTGTGTCAAGCATGCAAAGGTCAATCCCTTGAGCGTGGGAAACGCTGCAATGGCCCGTAAGGGTGGGGTGGGGAAGTCACTTTTTACAGCGCTTTTTCTAACTTTGGACGGTCACTAAACGAACCGTTGTAAGTTCGAGGACTGCCTGTGTTCCAGGCGCGGCCTCACCAAGGCATGCACTTACACGTGTGCGGGTATGTACACGTGTGCAGCATGCAATTGCAGCTTTCCAACGCCCATCCTAATTCTTTCCCTCCCAGCGGATCCCCTCCTGTTTGGACCCGACGGCCGTCGCACTCACAGCGGACACTTGTGGGTGGGAAGGGCCGTCCCAAGAACCGTCCAAGAACCGGGAAGCGAGCGGGTCGAGGGAGACCGGACGGGTTGCAACGGGTCAGAGCCGGGACCAGCCGGACGGTGTATAATATATGAACAGGGTGGAAGGGGGGAAGTGGGGGGGGGGGTGTTACTTCTCTCGGCTCTTCCCGGGGCGGCTCTTCCTTCCTCCTCCCCTCCCTCCCTCGGCTGTCAAGCCCGCCCGCTCACCTGGCGCGCGCGCCGTCGCCCTCGGGCTCCGCGCGGAGAAACAGGAAAAGGTCCTTCTCTCTCTTTTTCCCCCGAGGGTGTGCGCGCGCTCGCTCCCCAGCCCCCGCCCCCGCCCGCCCCACAGACATAGAAACACACACACACACATATACAAACCGCCGCCGTCTATTCTAGGCAGCCGAACTCGTCTGCTTTTCATGCCCTTCAAACCCGCCCCTTTCCCGGGAGAAGCGTGGAGGGCTTGGGATCATGGCGGTCGCCCTCTCCCCTCCACCCCGCGCTTGAGCCCGGGGGGTGGGAAGAGAAGGGAGGAGTTTGGAGTCTGCAGGAGCCGCCGCAAAAGAAGGCGCTTTTCCTTCAGAAGCGGGGACTTGGGGGGACGGTGTCAAGGAGAGAAGCCATATAGAGCAATAGGGGTGGGGAACGGTGTCCCCTTTAATGACTTGTGGACTTCAACTCCCAGAATTCCTGAGCCAGCCATGCTTATGAGCCACACTGGTTCAGGAATTCTGGGAGTTGAAGTCCACAAGTCATTAAAGGGGCCATTGTGCTGGCTCAGGAATTCAACATTTACCATCAGAATAGAGCTGGAAGGGACTTGGAGGTCTTCTAGTCTAGTCCAATCCCCTGGTCAAGCAGGAAGCCCTGAGAGTTGGCTGTCTACTCTCTTCTCTGAAAGTCTCCAATGATGGAGCACCCACAACTTTTGGAGGCAACTCACTCCATTGGTTAATTGTTCTCACTCCTTAATTCCTGGTTGCTTCTCTCTCTTTTTTTAAAAAAAAAAATTATTATTTTTTCTTTAAAAACAAGAACAGAAACACACACAAAACATAAATTTCCATTTTACAATAGTTTCATATCGGTCTTCTTTTAAAATTCACGATTTTCCCCTCCCCGTCTTTACATATATTTATATTTGTGGTTCCCTTGTATATATTTCTTTATCTGTTATACATATTATTGTATTGCTTCTCTCCTTTGATGGAGAGAAGCCCCTTTGATGCTAAAATAAAGCCAGGTCATGACACACACTTGAAAGTAAATCAGGAAGCCTGTAATTGCGGAGCGTGTCTGGCAAGAACAAAGAATGCTTATCTACAGGAAATATGCCATGTGTTAATCTTGTAACAATTCTGGGTAGTTAGAAAGCTGATAAAAGTAACAAGTTAGACAACTTGCAGTCCTCAGCTAAAAATTAGGAATACAGATGGCCTGCAGCCAATAAAATGTGTATTAGAGAACTCCTGGGGCATTCATTAGCCAAGGCTTAAGAGTAGGGACAGCTAGAGACCAATAGAAGAAATTGTAGAATTATTACTAAAATGTTTATTAGATGGTATTTCTTATTATCTCACCTTGTCCCGCCTTTTCTTTTACTGAAAGTGTATAAAGCTTACTTAATCCTTTGTTCTTGGTTCTTGGCATTTTGGCCAGGAGCCCTTTTCCTTGGAGTACTCCAATAAAAAGCAATCAGAAAACCTGCACCTCGTGTCTGGCATCCATCATTGGCTTCGGCACCAGGCTCAGACCCGAATTGGGGACAACACTCGATTAGTTTCCACCCATTGCTTTTTGTCCTGACTTCTGGTGCTTTGGAAAATAAATTGACCTCCCTCCTCTTCGTGAAAGCCCCATAAATATTGGAATACAGCTATCATGTCCCCCCTAGTCCTTCTTTTCTCTAGACTGGCCATACCCAATTCCCGCAACCGTTCTTCAGATGTTTTAGTCTCCAGGTCTTTAATCATCCTAGTTGCTCTTCTCTGCACTTTTTTTCCCAAAGTCTCAACATCTTTTTTGTAATGTTGGGAGCAAAACTGGATGCAGTATTCCAGGTGTGGCCTTACTAAGGATTTATAAAAGTGAATAGAATAGGAATAGGAACAGAATAAGCTGGAACCTTGGAGGTCTTCTAGTAGTACTTTTATACAGTTTGAAGGAGTCTGGAAAGCTGCTGCTGCTGAGAGAGTGATGCAATTTGTTAAGTGAGTTTTTCCCCATTTTACGACTTTCGTAAATTCTGTTAATTTGTTAAGTGAATCCCTGCAGTCCTTAAATTAGTAACCTGGTTAAGTGAACCTGGCTTCCCTGTTTGCTTGTCAGGAGGTCACAAAAGGGGATTGTATGAATCTGGGACACTGCAAACGTCATAAAGGTTAGTCAGTTGTCAAAGCATCCAAATGTGAACCACATGTCCGTGGGGATGCTGCAAAGAAGTGTGACAAACACTCATAAATCCATTTTTTCAGTGCTGTTGTAAGTTCGGTCACTAAATGAACTGTTGCAAGTCGAGGAGTACCTGTATTGTTGAGTGCATTGCTAGATTTCATTCATAAGTAAATAAATAAACAAGAGATGTAATAGCTGGTCATGGTAAGATATATGAGTAAAAGGAAGTACAGGAGGAGTAGCAGCAGATTTGGGGAAAACTCATATTGTAGTTTGCGGAAGTATAACCAGGCAGATGGCGACCTTAAAAAAATCCTTAGGGGAAAGCCCCTGCCTTAACCAGCCCCCAAAGACTTATTCTCTGTGGCCACAACAGACTTGCGGTCTGTTGCACAGAAAGAACGGCAGGAAGTAAAAGTGGGCCATCGGTGGCTGGCTGGCTGGAAAGTTTACAAGAAATACCTAGAATTTCTGTTGCAACGTAACGTACATGCCGTGTACTTTGCACACACACACACACACAGCCAGCACACTGCTAGCTTACTCTAGATTTATTAAATTTACTAGCTGAATATCCATGCTCCGCTACCAAACTATGTGATCGAGCTTTACTGGCTGAGGAATTCTGGGAGTTGAAGTCCACGCATCTTAAAAGTTGCTAAGGTTGAGAAACACTAACACACGTTTCCAGGCCAGGCCAGCCTTCTACTGCACAAGCATGCGTTGGTTACGACGACCGCCGGGCAAGATTTCTCTGAAAAGTCTTTTTATTACCATCCAAGCATTTACACAACTTTATTAAGATGGAGAAGTGGGAGCTGCATTCGCTCACTGTCTTAAAAAAAAAAAAAAAAAGTTCGACTTGTGATTTCTCAGGGGATTCTTTGATGAGAGAAAAAAACGACTGCCCTCAGATTTAAACGATATCATATTCAAGGCGCTGTCCCAGTCCTGCCAATTTAGGAATGTGCTCTTTCCCACCCACCCCACCACCACGCTCCTGAAAAACCGTGTCCCTTTTATTTTGAAAAAGATTTGGGCATCGCCTCTTGCTTTTGTGAGCGTCGCTTGGGGTTTGCTCATCTCCGTGCATGCGCAAGCCCCTCTGCACACACGCAGAGCCTCGAAAATGTGGAAAAATGGGATGTCATGACGTCCGCGCGGCTGGGGGGGCATCCCACAGTCACCCCTACCGGTTTGCCCGAACTGGATAGAACCAGCTAAATACCACCACTGGGTTTGCTGCCCCCTGTGAAAAATTCTCAAGCGCTGAAGAGGACTTGATTGATCACAAAAGCCTTTGCTACTGTCTGATTCCCGCCTTGCTCTTTCCCCGCGTGGATTTTCTGATGGGTAGCCAGGCAGTCGCCCCGACTGAAGCTCTTCCCGCATTCAGGGCACTGATAAGGTTTTACCCCCGTGTGAAGCCGCTGATGCCGGATCAGGTCCGAGTTCTGACTGAAGCTTTTCTCGCACTCGGAACACTTGTAGGGTTTCTCCCGGGTGTGGATCCGCTGATGCCTGACGAGACTCGAATGGGCGCTTAAGCTTAGGCCGCAGTCGGAGCAGCTGAAGGGCTTCTGACCCGTGTGCATCCTCAGGTGCATATCCAAGATGGACTTGCGAAGGAAAGTCTTGCCGCAGTTGGAGCAGTCGTAGAGCTTCTCCAGCCGGTGGACTCTCTGGTGCGACGTAAGGTTCGCTTTGTGACCGAAGCCCTTGCCGCAGTCCGAGCATTTATGGGGCAGTTCTCGGCTATGGAGTCTTGGATGGAGGGGGACCCCCTTCCCAAAAGCTGAGTTTTTACTGGGTCTCTCCTCTGGGATAACAACGAGGCACCGGTTTTTCCTCTTCTTCCGCTGCTTTTCCTGAGGAACTGGGACCTTGTCCACATCAGTGGTCCGATCCGACAGAGATTTATCCTTTTCTCCGGCCTGATCAACTTCTTGCATCTGTGAACTATCCGGATTCCAGGCGATTTCTCTCAGAGCTTCGCATCTGGCTCTTCCTAACCCTTTACGTGTTTCACCTCCATCTTCCTTCTTGGAGACACTTTCTGGAGCAGGAAGAAAGACACCAAAATGAAATACAAGTAGTTCTTGACTTACAACAGTTCAGTTAGTGACCATCAGAGGAGGACATCAGATTCACTTAACAACCATATAACTAACTGAATAACTGCCATGATTTCCTTACATACATAAGACTCCTTAGAACTAAATAGAGAATGATCCCAGTAAATTGAACATTTCTGATTTAACATTTAGTGTTTCACCTTGTAACAGAATGACATTCAAAATGTGTATGTATGTACCATATTATGTATGTATGTGTATGTATCACTAAATATTAAATCAGAAATATTCAATTCCCCAAGACCATTCTACATTTAGTTCTAAGGAGACAATGTGTATAGGCAAAACCTCTTTTTGATTCCTGGGGATTTCATGGACATATCCAAAACTCTTTTAATTTTCCAATCTAATCAGCAGACCTATGATTTCTTGGTGGTCTCCCATCCATGAGCAATCCTGCTTAACTCCAAGCTCCAATCCCAAGACAAAAAAATACAGGATTGTCAGAGCGATTAGAATATTCTGTCAGGTTTTTTTTCTTATTGTGAGCCTGCTTAGTTTTTCAAGTAGGCCCTGCTTTAAGAAAAGGAGTGATAAAGAAGGATTTTTAAGTCCCAAAGAGTCTAGTGGGAATTCACAGGAATTCACACCTTTCCTGATTGATTAAACCCAGCTCAAGTTTTCTTACCTAAGTTAAACATTGATTCTGGTTGTGAATTACTAATAAACATATCTTCCATGAATCAGTCTAATCTCATTTTATATTCTGCATTTTAGAGCGTATCATAATACCCGTGGCAGTGTTTAACGAAGAGTTTTATTATGAGTTTTATTATTTTTCTAACATCCTATTTTGGTTGCATTTAATCTCCTGCCACATGGCTTCTTGCATAACCATGAGATTTCAAATTACGAGGGGTTACAAAATCTATAATTTGCATACATATTCAGGGGAATCCGACTCTAACGTGAACAAAACCCCCAACTCACTTTTTTAAATCTCACAGCAATTCAAAATTGCTAAAGAAGGCACATGTCCATTTACCTAGGGATGTTCTTTCTTCTGAACTCTGAAAAAATGTCTTGTTTTTCTCTCCCAGCCAAGAGACATCACTTTGGGGTAACAGTGGACTTTCTGCAGATGACAAAAAAGCAATACAGATATATGAGTGAATTGGTAGACAAGTATTTCAGTCCTTAAGAAGAAGAATCTGTTGACCTCACCTGTCCTGTTAATCTAAGCTCAGAATGGCCATTGAGTAATGCCTATGATAGCAAGAGCACTTAGACTTATATACCGCTTCATAGTGCTTGTTACAGCCCTCTCTAAGCAGTTTACAAAGTCAGCATATTGCTCCCAACAATCTGGGTCCTCATTTTACCCACCTCGGAAGGATAGAAGGCAGAGTCAACCTTGAGCGGGTCAGGAATCGAACTGCCAAACTGCAGCTAGCAGTCAGCTGAAGTAGTCTGCAGTGCTGCACTCTAACCACTGCGCCACCTTGGCTATGAGCTACGGACACAAATACCGTTAATGATTAGTGGAAACTAATCAAGGAGAGAAGCAACTTAGAACTAAGGAGAAATTTCCTGACAGAACAATTAATCAGTGGAACAACTTGCCTGCGGAAGTTGTGGATGCTCCAACACTGGAAGTTTTTAAGAAGATGTTGGATAACCATTTGTCTGAAGTGGTGTAGGATTTCCTCCCTAAACAGGGGGTTGGACTAGAAAACCTCCAAGGTCCCTTCCAACTCTGTTTCTATTCTATTCTATTCTATTCTATTCTATTCTATTCTATTCTATTCTATTCTATTCTATTCTATTCTATTCTATTCTATTCTATTCTATTAATACAATACAATACAATACAATACAATACAATACAATACAATACAATACAATACAATACAATACAATACATCACATCACATCACATCACATCACATCACATCACATCACATCACATCACATCACATCACATCACATCTATGGAAATTCTCAGTCATCCAGGTCATGGTTGTCCCAAAGGTGCTTTTTTTCAAGAGGCAGCTGGTTTTTTCTTTGAAGAAGTTTCGCTTCTCATCCAAGAAGCTTCTTCAACTCTGACTGGATGGTGGGGAATGGAATTCAGTCAGAGCTGAAGAAGCTTCTGGAATGAGAAGTGAAAATCTTTAAAAAAAAAAAGAAAGTCCAGATGCCTCTTGAAAAAACACCTTTGGGACTGTCATTAATGATACTGTCTCTTAGGAAACCTGTAGCAGCAGGCAACTGACTTTGCCAAAGAGCTAGACTAGATGTCCTTTTTAGTTCCCACACAGTATCTCTATAATGGTTTGCTTGGAGGACTTGTGTATTTATTCCTTGAAGTCCCAGGGTTTCTCTCATGAGAAATGGATTCATTTTCTCTCAAAGATGGCCTTGAGGCTGACACCCCCGCTCTCCAGTTTATTCCACGTTAGCTTCTTACAACCAGCCCTCACACTTATGTCCATCGCAGCATTCCCACAGTCACGTGATCAAAATCCAATCGCTTGACAACCAGTATGGATCTAGGATGGTTGCAGAGTCTGGGGATCACATGATCACCATTTGTGATCCCACACACCCACTTTTACAGTCTGCTTCGGTTGGGAGGAGATTTCAAAGTATTTCTGTCAGGACTAACAGATTCTGTAACAGCTTTGTTCCCTATGCCCTCCGTCTGATAAACTCACAAGATTCGTTTTGCTTGCATGTACAAGTGTACATCCAAATTTCATTTTAATGTATGCCGATTAGGGTACATTTAAAGTGACAATAAAGTTAATCTTAAATCTGAGTCTTGTGACCTTTCCAGCTAGCTTCCAACAAGTAAAGTCAATGTGGTTAAGCCAGATTTGCTTAATAACCACAATTCACTTATAATATACTGCTCAAAAAAATAAAGGGAACACAAGCAGAAGACATCCGAGATCTGAATGAATGAAATAGCCTTATTAAATACTTTGTTCTTTACATACAGTATTTTATAACACTGCTCAAACAACTAAAGGGAACACAAAACTACTGTATGTAATGAACAAAGTATTTAATAAGGCTATTTCATTCATTCAGGTCTTGGATGTCTTCTGCTTGTGTTCCCTTTATTTTTTTGAGCAGTGTATAATATAATAATAGAGTTGGAAGGGACATTGGAGGTCTTCTAGTCCAACCCCCTGCTTAGGCAAGAAATCCTATACCATTTCAAGCAAATGGTTATCCAACATCTTCTTAAAAACTTCCAGTGTTGGAGCATTCACAACTTCTGGTGGCAAGCTGTTCCACTGGTTAATTGTTCTCATCCTCAGGAAATGTCTCCTTAGTTCTAAGTTGCTTCTCTCCTTGATTAGTTTCCACCCATTGCTTCTTGCTCTACCCGCAGGTGCTTTGGAGAATAGCTTGACTCCCTCTTCTTTGTGGCAGCCCCCGAGATATTAAATTAAATTAATTAATTAAGATACTTACCGGTAATTGCAGTGATTTATTTTAACAACCGTAGCAAATAAAAAAGGGGTCGTTAATTCACTTAACAACTGGTTTGCTTACTTGCTAGTCCGATTGAGGTCATAAATGGAGGGAAACCTGTAAAAGGGAGCCTTTCTGCAAGTTTGCTTTGGGGATGGGGAAAGCAAATGAGGTCACAGAAGAATTGCAAACGCTGCACCTCCTGAATGCTGAGCCTGGGTGCAAATTAAATAGGCACCGTGGGGAACCCAGAGAAGAATCTTGGAGTCTTAGTGGAGAACCAATTAAATATAAACCAGCAGTGTGCAGCAACAGTCAAAAAAGCCAATGCAATCCTAAACTGCATTAACAGAGGGATACAATGAAGATCAAGGGAGATACTAACACCACTCTATAAAGCCCTAGTAAGACCACACCTTACTGCAGAGAATACTGCATTCAGTTTTGGTCACCACACTATAAAAAAGATGTTGAGACTCTAGAGTGCAGAGAAGAGCAACCAGGATGATCAGGGGACTGGAGGCTAAAACATATTTGAACGGTTGCAGGAACTGGGCATGGCTAGCCTAGTGAAGAGAAGGACCAGGGGAGACAGGATAGCAGTCTTCCAATATTTGAGGGGCTGCCACAGAGAGGAGGGGGGTCAAGCTATTTTCCAAAGCACCTGAAGGCCAGACAAGGAATAATGGATGGAAACTGAACAGAGAGATTCAGCCTGAAAATAAGGAGAAATTTTCTGACAGAACAATCGACCAATGGAACAGCTTTTGCCTTCAGAAGTTGTGGGAGCTTCATCGCTGGAAGCTTTCAAGAAGAGATTGGACTGTCATCTGTCAGAAATGGTGTAGGGTCTCCTGCTTGGGTGGGGGGTTGGACTAGATGACCTACAAAGTCCCTTCCAACTCTGTTAATCTGTCAAGGCCCAGCTACTAAAAAATATCAAGAAGCTGAATCAGATCACAGAATCATAGAATCATGGAGTTAGAAGAGACCACAGGATCATTTGTCCGGTGCTTTGCAATGTCCAGAAAACCAGATAAACCATCCTCCACAGGTGGCTGTTCATCTGGTCCTTAAAATATTTCAAAGCAATAGAACACAAACTCTGTAAGATTTGTACACGTCCTATTGCCAGGAAGTTTTCCTTTATATTTCGAAGCGTTCTTGGGAGCTGCAACCTATGACCATTATTGCCGGTCCTTGTTGGAAAACAGAGGCAGTTGATGTTCAGATGAAAGCATCTCCTTGGACAGACGGCTGTCTGAATTTCTCTCCTCCACTATCTTTGTTTTCCCAGGATCCTGGTGATTGTTGTGGTCTGCCAGCAGCCTGCGGAGCTGGCAGCAGAGTCAGACAGTGAGGAGGCTGGGGAGGAACATGGGCCAGTCCTGGAGTCTGGGGAAAGCTGGGATGAGGGCTCTGCATCGGAGGCAGAGATGGGGCCAGGGCCATCTGGGAGTTATGTGCGGACTCCGGAGCCTCCAGAGTCGGACATCAAAGAGGCAGAGGAACAGGGAGCCTGTTCCCAGTGTGCACATGTGCAGAGCTGCCAGAAGGCAAGAACAGTTAAAACAAAAGGGACGACTCAGGAGTAAGGGTTGGAGATGATTGGCCCCTCCCATAAGACATAAAGGAAGAGCAAAGGCACGTGGGCACTTTGCAGGAAGCAACGTTGTGGATGGTGTCGGTTTGTACTTTGAAGCTCCGTTTTTGACTCTGTGTTTCTGTGTGGCCTTGCTAAGATAATTACCAATTAGATCTTTGGCAGCGTGTCAAAGAAGATAAAGGTGGGTGTTTACCAGCCTTATCCGAAGTACTGTGGCAGACTTCTGTTGGACTATTTATAAACTCTTGGTGATTCAGCACGTGCTGTGAATGAAAGGAATTCAGCCGCTAAAATAAAAAAAAGGGTTTTGGGGACTAATTATGTGCTTTTTACGATATCAGGAAGCCTAGGTCAGAACAGTGATTTTCAGGAAAAGAGAAGTTCTCCGGCTTTCTTACGGGAGAGAAGGAATCACAGAGTGATAACGACCCTCCATAGATCGGAGAACTGGGATCCTCTTTACCTAACACAGCATCCTCCTTACCTAACAAAGTGGCCTGTCCATCACTGCCTTCCAGTGTTGATTCGACATAGAGGGGTCTCTGTCCGGGCTCAGCCGGAGTCCAGGAGTAAACAGCCTGGACTTCCTCCAAGATGTCCTATGAGATCCATAAAAAAGAAACAAGTCACAGATGGCATTAAATAGTACAATCTGATCCTTTTCCATGCTTGGTACTTGGAACTCCACCAAACTAGAAACTAGAAAGGAAGTGTTTGCTGAACCCTAGAGATCTTCTTTGGAAGATCAGGTGAAATTCTGCAAAAGCTTAGTTCATGGATCTACATGTATTAAGGCTGTTGCTGTTTCAGGGAAACACATAGCTCCTTTAAAGGGTTGTGTATCCCGTATTTTTCCATGTATAAGACACTCCCCCCCCCATGTATAGAATGCTCTCCCCCAACTTTTCTTACCCCAAATTCAGAAATCAATATTTTAAATATGAAATAGAAGGCATTTATTTTGCAGAGTAAGTCATTCGCTTACCGGTACCGGCATTTATTTATTTTTTTGTTTTCTGACATTTTTATGGGTTCGGAATGCTCAAACATTACTGCTCCCTGTTGCATTTGGCTACACACTCTCCACAGCATCAGCTGCAGTGGTGGAATTCAAATTTTTTTACTACCAGTTCTGTGGGCGTGGCTAGGTGGGTGTGGAGTGGCTTGGTGGGCGTGGTAGCGGAAGGATACTGCAAAATCTCCATTCCCACCCCACTCCAGGCGAAGGATACTGCAAAATCCCCATAGAAGTGCTGGTCTTCCGTTTTCCTGCGTGAGCATGCGCACCAACCAGCTGATCATCACGTGCGCATGCTCGCCAGAAACCCAGAAGAGTAGCTGGCTGAAACCGGAAGTTCAGTAGCTGAAACCAGAAGTTCATTTTCAGTCACGCGCATGCACTCTGGACAGCTCCTCTTCCGGGTTGTGGCCCAGACGAGCGCACATGCTCCCTTTTTGGCACTCGGTGCCAAAAAATGTTCACCATCACTGGTCTATGGTCATTAAGCAAATCACCTATGGTTATTAAGTGCGATGTGAACGTGACTTGCGACTTCCTCTTGGCTTCCCCACTAACTTTGCTTGTGGGAACCCAACAGAGAAGATTATAAATGTCAGTCATCTGACTGTGGGATACCGTGAGCATTGTAAATAAGCGCTGGTTGCCAAGTGCCAGAATTGAGATCACATGACCATGGGAACACTACAAAAGCTACACCGATTGTAAGATTCCTTATTCAGCGTTGCTGTAGCTTTGGAAGTCTCTGAGTGAGTGGTCAGTAAGGGAGGATTAGCTGTGCAAACAACCCTTTGGGATTTTATGGACCATCAGTCTGGATGTCTATGGAGATTCTCAGTCATCCAAGTCATGGTTGTCCCAAAGGTGTTTTTTTTTCCAAAAGGCAACTGGGGTTTCTTGTTTTTCCTTGAAGATGTTTCACTACTTATCCAAGAAGCTTCTTCAGTTCTGACAGGATGAATGAGAAGTGAAACGTCTTCAAGGAAAAACAAGAAAATCTAGTTGCCTTCAGAAAAAGCAGGATCGGAATTTGGCACCCTCCAGATGTGGGAACTCAGCTGCCATCATCCAGACTCCCTCCTGACTCCCTCCCTCCCTCTCTCTCTCTCCAATTTATATGGTTGCCCAGCTTTCTCTGGGTGGCAAAAGATAAAAACATTAAATCAATTACATCAAATTCACTGAGGCTCAGTAAAATCAGAATGCCATTTATCACATCATAAATCAGGGTGGATTTGATTTAAATCCAGTTGATTTAAATCATGATTTAAATCACTAGTAAAAAGGCTTGATTTAAATCAACTCGATTTAAATCATAATTTTTAAAGAGCAACTGTCATCTCTGCTCCTCCTTTGACCCACTGTTGACTCACCGATAGTCCCAGTGTTGCAGAATACACAGCCTCATGCTACATAACTAAGCTCCATTTCATGCTGAATAAACTAAATTATTTATGTATCTTAAATAGAAAACTGTCTTACAATAGATTTTTACCCCAAAAGTTTTTTATTAAAATAAATTCGATAAAAATCAAAAAAATCCGATTTAAATAAAAAAAATCTGATTTTTTTGATTTTTTTAAAAAAATCATTGATTTTTATCCACCCTGTCATAAACCCATATCAGATCCCCAATACTAGCATTCCTAACTCCAGTATTTGGGAGCAAAAGCCAGAATGTCCTGGCCAGGAGTCAAGGATGACGGGAGAAATAATCCAACACGTCAGAAAAGACCACAAGTTGTCCATGTTTATTACAGACTTGAAGGCCCTGCAGTCAGAATCTAAATTCACAGTGGTTCCAAATTACAAGTAATCCTTGTTTACCCACTGTCTTCTTTAGCGACTGTTTGCAGTTGCAACAGTGTCTAAATTTTTTTTTTATGACCAATCCTTGCACGGATCGCCTTCACAGGTCTATCAAAGAAAGGAAAGCTAAAATCGGATTGCAATCTCACTTGTGGTTTCATTTAGTGACGGCTTCACTTAACAACCAAGTCTCCAGTTGGTAAATGGGGACTATCTTTCCATCTGCATTTGATGCTGATGAAAAGATGGCTTGGTTCAAGACTTTCAATGGCTATGTTTTTAAATATACCAATACATAAACACCGCCACTTGGTTTGTACTACTACTGAGTCAGTGGTGAAATGTAAAATTTGTGACTACTTTGTTACTACTACAAATGTAAAATTTGTTCTGTTGGCATGGCTTGGTGGGGGAGTGGGTAATATGACTGAGTGGATGTGGTCAACTTTTTTTTTACTTTTAAAACCATTTTTTCTACAACCTCTTCTGCTGAAGAGGTTGTAAAAAAATGCTTTTAAAGCCTCTGATGATCCCAGCTGACTTGCCTGATGGCAGAGGCTTTTTTTTCCTTTTAAAAACATTTTTTCTATAACCTCTTCTGCTGATGAGGTTGTAGAAAAAATGCTTTTAAAAGCCTCTGATGATCCCAGCTGAGCCACGCGATCATCAGAGGCTTTTTTTTTTTTACTTTTAAAAGCATTTTTTCGGCCAAAGAAGTTGTAGAAAAAATGCTTTTAAATTTTTTTAAAAAGCCTTTGATGATTGCGCGGCTCAGCTGAGCAATGGGGGGGGGCAGGGATTTTTGCTACCGGTTCTCCAAACCACCCGCCTCCATCGCTACCAGATTGGGCGATCCGGTCCGAACCGGGAGCATTTCACCCCTGTACTGAGTGCATTAATAGAAAATGCAAAATCCGAACTCTTGTCCTGCTTCAAAGCCGAAGCATCTCTTTGCAGGCCCCACAGTTTTATGGAAGAGCATAGCCCACAGTTTTAACTCACCTGCTTTTCCTTCCTTGAAGCCTCTTGCTGCCTCAAGAGGAAATCCTCCACCAGGGCCACGGCCTCGGCACAGGTCTCCATGCCGCATTCACACACCCAGCTCTGCATTTCCGGGGGAAGGATAGCCAGAAATTGTTCCAAGACCAGCAATTCCACAATCTGCTCTTTGCTGTTCTTCTCGGTCTTCAGCCACTGGCGGCAGAGGTCCCGTAGCTGGGCATAGACGGCCCTTGGCCCGTCGGCCTGCCAGTAGCCAAACTGCCGGAAGCGCCGGCGAATCTTCTCTCTGCTCAGAGCATCCCCTCGCAAGATGGCCGTCTTCACTTTCCCATAATCCTCTCGGTCTTCAGCTTCCAGCTTATCGAAGGCCTGCCTGGCTTCTCCATTGAGGGCGGGCAAAAGCCAGGTTACCCATTGCTCCCTGGGCCAGTGACAGGCTTTGGCCACTTGCTCAAAGGAGCCCAGGAAGGTCTTGGCGTCTTCCCACAAGGAAGGGTCCTCTGGGAAATGGGTCATTCCCCAGCCCGAGTGAGAGGACTCCATTGTCCTCAACAATGTCTTCCATTGGACTTCCCAGTGCTGGGTTAGATCCTCTTCTGATTCTCCCTTCACCTGAGGTAGGATGGCCTGTCCAAATGATCTTCCTGTATCTCCATCCAGAGATTTGCCTCGTCCTCTGAAGTCCACTCTGGTCTTGCAATCTACAATGACTCCGTGAAGGATTTCTCCGGCTGGTTTGGACGGCTCTCCTGGCAGACAACTAAGAGTTCCTTCTTCTTCCATTTTCATCCTTGAAGATCTTCATCAAGATGGCGGCACACAGCAGAACATTCAGAGACAAAGGACAACAACCTGGGAGAGACACGAGGAGGAGTCCCAAAAAAATTTGGCACAACGATTAAAAATAAAAGTTTGCATTTTGTTGGCAAAATTATAAAGCTGTATTATTAAATTTACAAAGCCTATTAAAAGAACTATGCATAGTTATTCAGAGAACCCCCAACTCCTCCTTGCTTCAAACATGAAATTAGGTATCACACGTATAAATTGAAAAGTGGCTATGATGAAAATTAATGTGCTTATTTATAATTTTGCAAAGGCACCGCTTCTTATCACCTGGTACCGGGCTGGATATATCTGCAAAGACAGGAAGAAACAGGTTTTGCTGTCCAGATACAGCTCAACCTTGGAAATTTAAAGAAGTCTGGCTTTCAACTCCCAGAATTCCCCAGCCATTCTGCACATGCATGTCGATTGAGGAATTCTGGGAGTTGAAGTCCACCCAGCTTAAACTTTCCAAGCTTGAGAAACACCGGCCTCAAACAGTTTCCAGCTAAGCCCCGAAGCTTGTGAAATTTACACAGTGAGCAGGACAAAGAAAATGGATGCCTTTGCATGATGGATGTGGAGAGGATTAGGACCAGCACCACGGATTGCAAGAACAGCCCATCAATCTAGTTTCAAAGGAAGCAGGGAATCATATATTTTGGGCATGTCAATCAACCAGGGGTGAAATCCAGAAGGTTCTGGAGAACCGGTAGCGGAAATTTTGACTAGTTCAGAGAACTGGCAAATACCATCTCTGGCTGGCCCCAGAGTGGGGTGTGAATGGAGATTTTGCAGTATCCTTCCCCTGTCCACCAAGCCACACCACACCCACCAAGCCACGCCCACAGAACCGGTAGTAAAATAATTTGGATTTCACCACTGGACCAAACTCCAACCAACCCACCCAATTTTGGCCATAGTTGATTGAGGGTGGAAGGAGAGGAAGCCATGGTGTGGACAACTGGAAACGGGATCCAAGAAAATACGGACTCCCTTCGGAAGAGCCACAAGTGATTTCCACAGGCAGTTAAGGTGACCTGCGCCCGATCCTAACTTGATAGCCCTGCAGCTTGGAAACGCTGCAAAGCCCCACAGGATCCAGTGCCTAAATATCTATCTATCTATCTATCTATCTATCTATCTATCTATCTATCTAATCTATCTATCTACCTACCTACCTATCTATCTATCTACCCACGCATCCACCCACCCACCCACCCATCCTTATCATCTATCTATCCATCCATTTCTATCATCTATCTATCATCTATCCATCCATCCATCCATCCATCCATCCCTATCATCTATCTATCATCCATCCATCCATCCATCCATCCATCCATCCATCCATATCTATCTATCTATCTATCTATCTATCTATCTATCTATCTATCTATCTATCTATCTATCTATCATCTATCTATCCATCCATCTCTATTATCTATCTATCATCTATCATCCATCCATATCTATCTATCTGTCATCTATCTACCTACCTACCTACCTACCCACCCACCCATCCATCTATCCATCCCTATCATCTATCTCTATCATCTATCCATCCATCCATCCATCCATCCATCCATCCATCCATCCATCCATCCATATCTATCTATCATCTATCTATCTATCTATCTATCTATCTATCTATCTATCTATCTATCTATCTATCTATCTATCTATCTATCTATCTATCTACTACCTATCTACCTACCTACCTACCCACCCATCCATCTATCCATCCCTATCATCTATCTATCTATCATCTATCCATCCATCCATCCATCCATCCATCCATCCATCTCATCTATCATCTATCTACCTACCTACCTACCCACCCACCCACCCATCCATCCATCCATCCATCCATCCATCTCATCTATCTATCATCTATCTACCTACCTACCTACCCACCCATCCATCCATCTATCCATCCCTATCATCTATCTATCTATCTATCTATCTATCTATCTATCTATCTATCTATCTATCATCTATCTATCTATCTATCTATCTATCTATCTATCTATCTATCTATCTCATAAATTGGGTGGGTTGGTTTGTGTTTGGTTTGACATCTGCTTAAAGCACACGCCCAAAACATTTGACTCCCTGCTTCCTTTGAACTAAGACCGATGGGCTGTTTTTGCAAACCGTGGTGCTTGTCCTAATCATCTCCAAATCCATCATGCATGCATGCGTGCGTATGTGTATACACACACACACACAATTAATTTGCACACCACTTTTCCAGGCCAGGGACCTGTGCCCGCCTTCCAGAGGGCACATCTGCCCCAGCTTTCCCCAACCAGGCGCCCTCGGGATGAGCTGGGTCGCGATCGTAACCCGCCGCGCTTTGGCTGGGCAGAACCGATCCAGCCTGGAGCAGAAGCGCAGCGAAGATCCAATGTTGCAAAGGGGGGGGGAGAAAGGGGGCTTTTTCCCGGAGCAAACGGCCCACCGGGATCCCAGCCAGTGGGGGGGGGGGGAGGGAAGGAGGGGGGTGAGGAATCCCCGCTCCTAGCCCCGCTTCCCCTGGGCTGCGCCACTCACTTTTTCCCCCCATGCACGGCGACCTCAACCCCCTTTTTTTTTCCCCCACCAGTCCGGCTGCAAAAGACTCCCGGCAAACCCGGCAAACCCTCCGCTTTGCTCGGCCTTTCTAGGACGCGGGACTCCCCGCCTCTCTGGATTTAACCCCTTGGAGCCCCGCTGAAACAGCCAAGGTCGATCCCACCTGTTGAATTCAATTATTATTGTTGTTGTTGTTGTTGTTGTTGTTGTTGTTGTTGTTGTTGTTGTTGTTATTATTATTATTATTGTTGTTGTTGTTGTTTTTATTATTATTATTATTGTTGTTGTTGTTGTTGTTATTATTATTATTATTATTATTGTTGTTGTTGTTGTTGTTGTTGTTGTTGTTGTTGTTATTTTAATGCTTGCCCAGTTTAAAAGGGCTGTGTGTGAGACTTTGGCAACCCTTTTTGCACGGTCAGGAAGCTTCACCTGGATTAAGATAAATTCCTTGGGTGTCCAATCACACTTGGCCAATAAAGAATAAAGGATTCTATTCTATAGTAGGAAGTTAGCACCCACCCCTTTTTTAGAAGAATTAAATATTTTAGGAAATATTAAAAAGGCAGAATATTATGTTTCCCTGGCTGAGAAATGGAGAAGCATGTTTTAAAGACAAAGCAGCTCCCATCTTCCTGCCTCCCCCCATTTTATTATTATTATTATTATTATTATTATTATTATTATTATTATTATTATTATTATTATTTTATTAAATTTATATCCCGCCCTTCGCCCCGAAGGGACTCAGGGCGGTGAACAGCCGAGAATTAAAATAACATACAATATAAAAGTTAAGATAATTAAAAATAAATTAAATTAAACGGCCTCCCAATTTAAAACCCCTAGCTATAGAATTAAAAAACTAACCCATAAAACCTATTCAGGCCAGGCCGGCTTGCTGAAATAAAAACGCCTTCAGGGCCTTACGGAAAGTGCGGAGATCCGGAATCAGCCGTATTTTTGTCAATGGGCCAGAGGCAGAAACCCAATCCTTTGTCAAAGGACAATCATCTGCAACATAATAGGACCCATCTAGCAACAGAAACTAATACAATAGGACCCACCTAGCAACAGAAACTCACCACATTTATTTTTATTTTATTTTTTTATTTTATTTTATTTAATTATGATTTATATGCCGCCCTTCTCCGGAGACTCAGGGGGGCTTACAATGCGTTAAGCAATAGCCTTCATACTTTTGTATATTTATACAAAGTCAGCTTATTGCCCCCACAATCCGGGTCCTCATTTTACCTACCTTAGAAAGGATGGAAGGCTGAGTCAACCTTGAGCCTGGTGAGAATTGAACTCGCAGTAATTGCAGGCAGCTGATGTTAATAACAGTGCTTTGATCTGCTGCGCTACCAGAGCTCCTGGGTCTGCACATGGCACCTGGGAAGATTACATCAGCCAGCAAAGCTACCTAAGACCCCCACCCCTTGAGAGTCTGACAACCAATCAGGATACTCTTTCAGGGCCCCAGGAAGTTCAAAGTCAGAGAGGGCATAAAACCCGGGGACTCGCAGCATCTCCCCACTTTTCTGTTCAGGAACTCAAACCATGTGATCCTATCCACCATTAAACCATCTTTCCAAGCAGTCTCCATGTTTCCCGTGTCTTTTTCCCCACTTGGAGCTGAACCCAGAAGGATATTTCTTCTAACACTGGGAAGGATCCATTGGTTCTCGATTGGCAGCAGGGAAGGGTCGACACAAGTCCTTTACCCACTTGTGTTCCTAAATCCTAAAGAGCTCTGGTGGCTCAGCAGACTAATTAACATCCACTTACATCTGCTGCCTGCAATTACTGCAAGTTCAAATCTCACCAGGCTCAAGGTTGACTCAGCCTTCCATCCTTTCTAAGGTAGGTGAAATGAGGACCCAGATTGTGGGGGCAATAAACTGACTTTGTATAAATATACAAAAGTATGAAGGCTATTGCTTAACGCATTGTAAGCCCCCCTGAGTCTCCGGAGAAGGGCGGCATATAAATCAAATTAAAAAAAAATCAAAGCAGGTTAAAACACCTGGCCCACTTTAGCATTTCCCCCCCAAACCTTTGCAAAGTGGACCTGATCACATACAGAAGTTGAAAAGCTTCTGAGGTGGGAAATTAATTCTTAAGGAAAGAAAGGAATGGGAAATCCGAAGCGGATTTGAGGACAAGGTGATTTACCACCACAGTTGAGCCCAAAATGGATGTTGCTACGTGAGAAATTTGTTAAGCGAGTTTTGCCTCATTTTACGACTTTTCTTGCCACAGTCGTCAAATGAATCCCTGCAGTTGTTAAATGAGTCACATGGTTGTTAAGTGAATCTGGCTTCCCCGTTGACTTTGCTGGTCAGGTTACAAATGTAGATCACATGACCCCAGGGACACTGCAACGATCGTAAGTATGAAACGGTTGCCAAGCATCTGACTTTTGATCATGTGATTGAAAGAGCCTTGGTGGCGCAGCGGACTAAAGTGCTGTTAAGTAACACTTAGCTGCCAGCTGCCTGCAATTACTGCAAGATCTCACCAGGCTCAAGGTTGACTCAGCCTTCCATCCTTCCGAGGTAGGTAAAATGAGGACCCGGATTGTGGGGGCAATAAGATGACTTTGTATAAAAAAGAACATCGCTTGGGGGGGCCCCGAAAGCCCTACTAAGCAGATATATACAAAAGTATGAAGGCTATTGCTTAACGCATTGTAAGCCGCCCTGAGTCTCCGGAGAAGGGCAGCATATAAATCGAACCAATAAATAAATAAATAAATAAATGTGATCATGGGGATGCTTTGTACCTGTGAAAAACAGTCATAAATCACTTTTTTCAGTGCAACTTCGGCCACTAAATGAACTGTTGTAAATCAAGGATTACCTGTATAGCTCAGCCCCTTATAGGCCAGTCCCAAAGATGCTTTTTCCAAAAGGCAACTTGGATTTCGTTTTTTTTTTCTTGAAAATGTTTTGCTGAAGAAGCTTCTTGGATGAGAAGTGAAAGGTTTTCAACAAAAAAAGTCCAGTTGCCTTTTGGAAAAAGCACCTTTGGGACGCCCACTGCCTGGATGACTGAGAATCTCCATATAGGCCCGTGGTGGCAAACCTATGGCACATGTGCCACAGGTGGCACACAGTGCCCTCTCTGTGGGCACACGAGCCATCGCCCCAGTTCAGCTGTGCCGTGCATGTGTGCGTGCCTCCAGCAGGCCAGCTGGTTGTCGGGTCTATGCCACACATGCAAGGGGGGGCGTGCGGGGAGGGGGTCAGCTGTGTGTGTGTGGGGCACATGCATTGCATCTTGGGGGTTTGGGTGCGTGCGCGCACTTTGGCCACTTGGTCTGGAAAAGATTAGCCATCACTGATATAGGCCAGTGGTGGGTTCCTCCTGGTTCAGGCTGGTTCGGCCGAGCCGGTAGCGGTGACGATATGACATCACCGAACCGGTTCTGCCCCCCCTGCCCGCCCACGTTATTCTTACCTTTTATTTGGCCCCACCCCCAATTTATTGCTGCCTCCTGAGTCCCAGCTGATGGGCTATAAGGAAAAAAACTGTT